CTGCTGAACAATCCTGTCTTGGGAGTGGTGGTGCTACTGAGTCAGACGACTTAAGGATATATTCTGATTTGAAGCATACAAAAGCCTGTCTCATAATATGCATCTCTCATTGTTAATAAGCATTCAGGAACAGCAGTTTCACCAAAGAGAACAGAAAGCCCTTCAAAGGGAGTAGGGCTGTCAGATCCCCCAAGGAAGCAGGGTTTGCCCGCTTTAGGGGCCCCCAATCCACCGGCCCAGATCCAGCTGGCAGGGGGAACCCTGCCCGCAAAGTCCCTGGACTGGGCCAACGCGTGTGCGCTGTGATAACATCACCTGGAGGTGATGTCATCACGCTGGGCAAGTCGGTGGGGGGACGGCTCTAGCATTCGGCCTGAAAACTCTATGGTATCATAGAGATTCTAGCCAAATGGTAGAGCATCCCCCTGGCAACGTGCCTAACATGAAGATGTCACTTCCGGGTGATGTCATCACACCACGCGCACCAAAAGATCCCGGGAGAAGAGCTTCTCCCCCCGCTGGAAAAAGGTAGGGACCTGGCAACCCTAAAAGGGAGGCACCACTTTACGTAACAGATAACCCTGCTGAAGGTATCAAATGAACTGTACTAGGGCACTTGAAGCAACAGGATAGAGCAATCATAGATTCTATATAAGTCACAGAACTTAGAAACTGCCAAATTATGAAAAAAAAACCTCCTACACTGATGCATCATGCATGTTAGGGCATGCCTGCATCAGTTGCTTTTATGTTTGTAAAATAAATTTTTGAAAACTCACCCTCCTCATTTCCCACTGTGATAAGCTTCTTGAAAGAGAAAGATCTGAATCTAGAAGGGAAAAATAGATCCATAGGTATTCCAAGCAACAATTTTTTAAAAAAGAAAACAAAAGGATCCCCCCCACCCCATGCACACATAGAAATTTTAGTGCAGCTTTTTGACTACCATATGGCTTAGGAGAAATTACTACCAATCCCATTTTACAACTGACTCAAGAAATATCCTCTCATCCGTGTGTGTGTGTGTGTTGATGTTTAATTTTTAATTGTATTGAATTATGTATTAATTTATTTGCAGGATATATTATACATAGAGGTCTAGTAGTTTTTTCCCTCCTGTTTAGGCAACTTGGGTCAAAATATATAATGCTTCTAGGATGAGGCTAGTAATTGATTTGATTTACTTGTTAATTGGAGTTTAGATATATATATATCATGTATTTTTTTTTAAAAAAAATATCCTTTATGTTTTCATATTTAGTACAGACCAGACATGGCCTGTGGCCCTTTGTTTATTATGCATTCTCTGCATTTTTGTGATGTTTTATCCCTATGTTCCTGTTTATTTTATGACCACTGAGAAAAGATGATTATCAAAAATTTTGGTCTTTTATTTATGCTTTGTAAATAAAGGAGTATTTTGTATTTACTTAAACATGTACACCATTTTTACTGTTCCTGATTTTGAAATGTTGGATGATGAATCCTTAAGGTCAGGAATACGTTTCAGTCTTTTTACATTAACCCTTCAAGAATTCTGCATTTATGTATGGCATTATTTCTCTGCAATTCTCTGCTTTTTGGTGTAGGAGAAATTACTACTAGTTCCATTTTACAACTGACTGAAGAAATATCCCTTTAGCTTGGAAATTTCATTCTTTTTTTTTCTTCTCTTGTGCCCTTACAGCCAACTCACCATCATTTTCTTTGTATGTTAGTGTTGAGAAACATTCTGTGGAAATTGTCACTAGATACACTTGGCAATGATTTTTAAAACCATTACTTCACAGTATTTATTCTACACAATTCCAACTCTGCATAGGCCCATAGACAATTATACAGAGAAAATGTGATGAAGTAAATGATTATACCAACCAACTGTTCTTCTCTTTTCTTTTATAACTTCCATCTTCCCCTTTATACCTGAATTCCTTTCAGTACTGGAGTTGGTTTGCATTTGGAGAGAGTGCAGACCATGCAACTCATCTTCATCATTCCCTTCATCTTCACCATCTTTGTCACTGTCTGATGAAAGTGCTGGTGCAGATGAGAGGACAGAGGCAGATTCATGTCTAGAAGAAAGATGTTGAGAAATATATGCATAAAATATACGGTAAATGTCAAGATCCTCCACCCAAACCAATCTGGTACAGAGCACCCTTCAGTCTCAGCAATAATTTATTTAATTTTATTTCAAATAATCTGATGCCTCAATGGTCTTGGACAACATAAATCACACTAAGACCACTCTCTAATTCTACCCTCATGTTGAAGCCACAGCAGCCAAAATGTTTTGCTACAGCCAGTGTTATGCCAAAATCAGTTATTCACTAACAAAAAAGCCAGGAAAGCAGAAGTACCAGAAGCAACCACTGGCTGAATCCAGAACTCTCTCAAAGGGGCCTCCAGCACACAATCAAAGAAGATATCAGCCAACACTTTCACTTGCACAGATCCACAAGGAAACAGTCTATCTGAATAATCTACTCCTCAAAATCTACCCAGCAAAGCAGCAGAAGGAAAAGCATTTAACCTAGCCAAAAGAAATGCCTCTGATAGTTAGGGATGATCAGTTGATAAAAATAAGATGGAAGTATAGAGGAAGCAAATACAAAAAACCCCAAAAACACATAAAGCACACTCTACAATTCCTAAGATACAGAGCACAACTACTCTATGATCAGACCAAACCATATTTAGAAGGGGGGGGAGAAGGATAAGAACCCTGCTGCTCTCCTTTATAGGTACACTGACCACAGTATCAATGTACACACCACAGCTTAATAGTATAGATACTTATTATTTGACTTTTTCAATTGAAACATTTTTGGGAACAAGATTTAGGGAAAATTAAGAACTTGAGTGTCCTATTGGTTTCAATGGGAGAGTTTTAAATATACTTAGATCTCTCCCACTAAAATCAACTGGATTTAAAAGCAGTGAAGTGGGGCTAAATTGTGTCCTTGGACACTTCCACTGATCCATTTTCCTTTTCTAAGGTTTCTTACTACTGTAAAGATACACATTGTGTTATGCTATATAGAGGAAATTTATTGTATAGCAAGGGGGGAAAGCAGATGAATTATCAGTGAAAACTGTTTGCATTCTGAACATATTTGCAAAACTTAGAAACTATTAGCTAGTGCCACATTGTAATGCAAACCCCCAGACACAATAAGAGAGAGCTTAACATACCTGAGATAGGTACTTAATCAAAATGGATAAGACAGGCATTCCAGGCATAAGCCCCAAGCATCAACTTTCACCAGCAGGACATGCATTTTCCCCTTTCAGTCAGAGTAAGAACTAAACTAAGTCAGCTAAGGATGGCCAATTAAAAAATAAAATAAGTCACAATCCATCAGCAACACACTGGTTCCATGACATCATACAAGTGAACTTTTATAGAGTGCTGTGGGTAGATGACCACATCAAGACACTAATCAGGCGACCAAAATAACTTTGCTGACCAAATACGGGTTAGTCTAGCTAGGAAGCAACTTCCCCTGCAATGTGTAAGTTGCCAGCAGTACCAAAATAGGACCAACAAACACAGAGGGTTTTAGCCGTTGCTCCTGTATTGATCCTCTGCAATCTGCCTTCCTCTGCATTCTGTTGAGGACCCAATAAAGGCACCCTCCTCCCTGCCTAATCAAAAGGTCTCTACACAGTCCTCCTCCTCCTGTGCTGCCTTATCACTCTCTTTTACCTAACATGTTCCACACCATCAGTTTCCATGTCTCTGTCCAAGGTTGGCTCTTGACCTGTCTGCCTAACTACTCTTCACTGTTTCCACAGGGGGAAAAAGCTCTTCTGCTTGATGAGATCCCCTAGGGATCTGTCCTTGGCCTTCTCTCCTCTATGCACTCTTCCGGGATAACCTCATCAATTCCCATGGCTTTAAAAACCACTTGCACATAGCTTCACTTCACAACTTTCTTCCTCCATTCAGCTCCACACCCATTACAATATCTATGTTTTTATACTGCCTTTCATCCAAAGAGCTCGTGGCAGTGTACATGGTTCTCTCCTCCTCCATTTTATCCTTACAACCACTCTGTGAGGCAAGCTAGACGGAGGGAGTGTGACAGACTCAAGATCACCGAATTAGTTTCATGCCTCGCATTCATACCCGGGTCTTCCTCAACACTATGAAGCATGGAACCGATGGAGAATGGAGGACAAAATGGTTGGCTCTTGAGGGTTCACCAACAGCAGCTGTTGCTAATGATAACCCACTGCTTGGTGCGACAATAGTTGGAAACAGGCTGGTAACTTGACAAATTCATTGCTTGTTTGTTGTTGGATGTTCAGTTCAACACTGAACCATGATGGAGAGGCCTTCAGAGCCTCTAGATAGCAACCTACTGAGGCTGAGTATATCAAAAGGAATAGGAGGACTAGGACAGCATGTACCTGACATGGACAGGTGGAACCTGCTCAGCCACATCTGTTAATTTTCAAAGACTATAGTGCTCAGTTCTTTAAATACAAAGCAAGGATATGGCTCAGAGAACTTGCATACATAGTCAAGTCAAGTAGTAGGGTTGTCTGTGGCAAAAAGGAGTCCCTACAGTGGCTTTGAATTCTATCTTCTTCCAGAACTTGGTGGTCTGTATCTCTAGGCAGGAAATCTTTTTATTTTATTTGTTCATTGTAGAAAAAACAGTGGGGGTACAGAAAAGGGGGGAAAGAAAAAATGGGATATACAACATAATTACATTTATCAGACAATCATGTAATTCATAATGTATAGGACAGAGAATATTTTCCCTCTCATCCCCTTCATTATAATTTTAAGGTGTTATCTATAAAATACAATAATACTTATTTCTGTTGGGGTACAATTGTATTCATCATTTAAGTTTTAAGTTTCAAACTTCATAACTAATCTGTGTTGACTACAACACTGGTTTCATCATTACTATGTATTCAACATAATATATTTTCACCACTTATATATATTCCTTAGAACCTTTAATAGATAAGTAGTATATCATGGTGTAAAAGAAAGTCTATTATATGTCTCATATAGAGAACCCATTTATATTCAGGATATTACATTTGGAACAGATTTTAATTCTACTTCTATTTCATTACCATACATTTCTATATGGTATTTGTCTCCTGCTAGCATAATACACACTCCATCTTTCCTTAAATTCCATAATAGACCTGTTTCTCAAATAGGTTATTAATGTTGCCATTACAGTGTATTCAACAAGTGTATTCAACTACCCGACGGAAGTCCCTCTTCTGAATGTGGACAGACGTTTTGTTTCCATTTTGCTGCATAAATAGTTTTAGCTGCTGTCACCACGTATTTGAATAGCTCTTCTAAAATTGTTGGTAATTTGTTATGTAGAAAATCTAATAGCGTGCTCTTGGCTTCCATTGGGAATTTAAACTTTAATATATTCTGCATTTTTCAGTGTATCTATTTCTAATATCTTTTTGGTTTTTTGCAAGTCTACCACATATGAAAGTTCCATCTATATCTTGACTTTTCCAGCAGTTTCCTTAGTCATTTTTATGTGATTTAAAAATGTCCTTTGGAGTTATATATCATCTGAAAAACATTTTGTACCAATTTTCTCTCAGTGTCTGGCTGACTGTAAATTTGAGATCTTTCCCCCATAGTTGTTCCCATTGTTGGAGAGATATCTGTTCTTTAATGTTTTGCAGCCACTTAATCATACATTTCTTCACTTGTTTATCTTCTGTTTCTAGCTGGAGTAAATCTTATATATCCATCGTAGTAAATGCTCTTTTTGTTTTATAATCAGCTGCTCAAATTCAGTCGCATCACTTAGTACTCCACCTTCAATACACATGATCTCCTTTAATCTTGAGTCTAATTGATAGTATATCGGCCATTGAATGTTTACATCTTCATCTTTAATATCTTGCCAAGCTTTTCCCCTGCGTGTTTATCATCATGTCATATGTTTAAAAAATCATGTTTATTTCTCGTATTCTTATCATAATGAGTTTCGATTACGTTACTTCTTTCTGGTGTTATGATCTTTTTAGTCGATTTCTTCATCCATAAGTAATTGTCTAGGCCTTCATCAAGATCTTCTGATTCTAATCTTGGGTTTTTAATCCAGTCCACAATCCAGACCAGACCTGCTGCTTGGTAATATAATTTTATATTTGGGACTGCTAAACCTCCTCTCTTGTTCTTGTCTTATAATATTTTGAATCTTATTCTTGGCTTTTTGTCATTCCATATAAATCCATTTATCTTCCTTTGCCACTCTTTCAATATTCTTTCTTCTATATATATGGGTAACATTTGGAAAAAAAGGTTTAGTTTTGGCAGCACATTCATTTTAATTGTAGAGATTCTTCCCAGCCATGAGATTTTTTAGCTTTTTCCATCTTAATAAATCTGCTTGAATCAACTGAATCAATTTACACATTTTCTGAAAGGTATTTCTTAAAATATTACATTTTGCCCAGTCACGTTTATTCCCAAATATTTAATAGGGTCGGTAGCAGTTGAGCACTTTGTGTTCTTTATAATATCTTCTTGTTGTATTAAAATTTTCATTTATTTTCGGGGGTTTTCTGTTAATTTTATAGCCTAATTCTTCAGTATCCTCAGTTACATATTGCAACTATTTCTGGTTGTTGCTGAATGAAGTGTCATTACAGCTGGAAAACTGTAGCTTTCTATGTGAACCAGTAGGACTATATAAGGGAAGAAACTTTATCAAACTACAGCATAGGTTGTACTCTGGTGTAATGAATTCTATTCGTAATTTAAAATGCTTTCATGTTTAAAATAATTAGATTTAATTATGTATGTCACTTTAAACAGAGTACAGATTCTTAATCCTGTGTCATGTGCCACATAAGTTTGCTTTTGGACTCACAAATACTGCTCTGGAGGCAGTTTCCTACAGCTGTATCGTTTCTAAGGATATTGAAAACAGTCCTTGTATCTCTCCCAAAAGAATACATTTCAAAGAGCAACTTCATTAACATAAAACTAAACAAGGGAATCAATCACCTATTTTTGATTTTACATGAACTGCCTTGTCTCTTCCTAACTGCAGGGACAGCCAAGGAACTCATGCCCTGCCAGATTTTGGACAAGCAGGGCATCATTTCAGTAAAGCTCAAAGGGTTTCCCCACTGTATACAAGCGCAGGTCCACCTTGAGCAAAGTCATGCTGCTCACAGCCAACTCCTGTCAGCGTAGGGTTGCCAAACTCCCCGGTTTGGCAAGGGTCACCCACTTTTGGGGGCTTCTACCCACCGGCGGCCGCCTGGCCACCGGGGGAAGCCCCACCCCCAAGTCCCAACACTGGCTGCCACCCCTCTCCCTCAAGAGAGAAGGGAGAGGGGTGGCTGCAGGCCAGCCGATCGGGCTTCAGGGAGCCGGCGTTTCCGCGCGCCCGATCTTCGGGGGAGCCTTTAACTGCAGGGGGCCAGCGCCCCTGTCAGGCGGGGGAGTCCCCAACATGACGTCATCACATCGGGGATGCCCCACCCCCTCCAGGAACGCCCCCCCCAAAGTCCCCCGCTGGGGAGGGAGATAGGACTTGGCAACCCTATGTCAGCGAAAAGGTGAACTTCATTTAAAGTCATCAGGAAAAAAGGACAAGATGAGATTAATTACCGACAAGCTTTTAAACCTCAGAATATTTCATACACGGAGATTAATAACCATTATTTTGGGCTTGGGGGCAAGAAAGAATGGAATTTCAAGAATGAGTGAAGCACAGGGAAAGGAAGAAAGCAGAATGTACTTTTAAAAATGTATTCATGTTAGTCTGAAAATTCCCAGGGCTTTGTCAAGAACTCTCAGTATTTTTCCTCCAGTCTACTAACAAATAACAAAAATAGTATAACAGAAAACAACCCATCATAAAAAAAAATCCACCAACCAGTATGTGAACTTTGAATAGACCATAGACTGAATAAAACTTATTAAAAAATCATATGTACTGTCAAGGAATCATTATTACATAAAATAGTCTAAGGAGATCATGAGCAAAAAAACTGTTGCAACACAGTGGTGCCCCTTCAGGTGTTAGGAACCTGACAAAAGTGTGCTGCAAGCTTGCACAGTCCTCAGCTCCCCCCTTCTTCCTCGCACCCTCCTCTTCTACTTCCTGGCTTGTTGCAATTCGTTTGCCAGGACATATGAACAAGCAAACTGCATCTAAACCAGGCCAGTATCAAATGCCAAGACACAACATGCAGTGCATATTTCACAGTTCTTCCACTTGCCAAAATACTCTTAATTCCTTTTGCATGTCAGGGTCCCACACGGAAAAGAAAAGAAGACAAACAAAAAAGATACCCTTCAAATTCATGGTCTTCCAACCAATTTGTATTTTGTTAATTCATCCACTGGCTTTTGAAAATATTGTCTATTCATCAACACACACCTAGTTTAAATAAGGGAACAAGAAAGGCAGGCTAAAAATTTTAGAGCATTTACATGTTTCTTTGCTTAGGCCACATAGCCTTACAAACATCAAACTGCAACCCAAATCTTTCTGTATCCCTGCTAAACAGGAATGCACATTCATAAGGCAAGCAATCATAAGTCTCTTACACAAGGTCCCCAAGTTTCTTAGCTTCTTGCAGTGATGCTGTGACAGTGCCTTACATCCTTGCAAAAAGGCCGTGTTCTCAGATCTGTGCTCATAATCCAAGGGCCAGGGTAGAAAACAAGCCTTTTAAAGCTGACCAAACAGAAAGCCTCCAGCTTTGCAAAGAGGTCACCAAACGTGTTTGCCAACAATTTGCTGGGCTTGGTATGCTACAGACTCAATGCTCAAAGCAGAAGCATGTGACAAAGGAGCTTTGCAATACTGACTGAAGCCTGATGCAGACTGTGCCTCGAAAAAGGCAAAGCTTTGCAGCTGCTGAAATGGTGAAGAGCTGGCTATAAAAAGCATTCTGCTCTACCACTGCAGCATTTTTGGCTAGAAAAGCCTTCTCCATAGCTCTGTACTGCGGCACAGCAGGACTAGGTTATATCAGGGTTTAATGTCAACAGTGACTCACACAGGCTTAGCCAAGAACATGTAACTGCCAAGTCTCGACCCTAGAACAGGGCATTTTAAAGCATGCACAGAGTGCTTTTCCCTAATTGAACCCGGCCCTCACAGGGAAGGGCTTCCAATTCAGATGATGCAGTTTCCAGTTAGCTCTGGAATTATTCTTAAAAATAAACAATATGCATAGCACAAACAGACAAAGAAAAACCTTTCCCTAGCAAGAAAAAGCAAACATCACAAACTAGGATTTTGTATTCTCTTCTTAAGAGGGCTATAATTATACAAAGGCAATGGCTGACTGCTTAAGTTCGTGCATCAGAATGCTTTCTGTTGCATTATGGCTCAAAAAAACAAACAAATCTGGGGCATATAGTTCCTCAGGAAGTGCCATCAGAATCCACACTTATTAGTTTGGCTTCTAAAGCTGAAACACAGCTTTGAAGTTCAGGGCTGGGTTCCACTGAAGAGGTTTGAACACACCCACAGTTTCCAGGGTGATTTGGGAAATCTGCCTGATCTGCCAGCTGAGTGGAGCCGGCCTTATTCCCAGCAGCAGCAGCAAAAAAAAAAAAAAAAGTGGCACAATACAGTGGGTGGGGCTGGCACGACTGGCAGTGCTCACTGTAAACTTGGTAATGGAAGGCAACACCATATGCACCACTGATTTTAAGTCTGGCTAATGTGGCCACAGATGCCCTTCTGTATCAATAAAGAGATGTACATGTATGAACTTGCCCTGCTAAAAATAAGAATTCTTGATTGTGCAAATGGTTTTTAGAAAACTACTGGAAAATAATGGTTGGCAGAAAAAACTGGGTAGAATAAAAGCCAAAGACGCAGACAGGGGTGAGGTGGAAGAAACAACATAAAATAAGACCCAAAGGGTCTTTAATGTTAGTGGCAATCCACACAGTGCCTTATCCCCACAGATGTAGTGAACTTTCTTTGCTTCACAGTAAGGCCTAGCACTGTTTCTATCTGAGTTTCTCCACTGTCTCAGGTCATCTAGAGAGGCTCTAGTTCATGCCTCTTCCATTCTCCAGCCAAAGAACCTGGCAGGGTGTGGAGCAGAGCCTTTCTAGTGATGGGACCTTTGCACTAGAATTAATATGCCAAGCCACCCTACTGGCTGTCTTCTGTCCCCTTTCCAAAAATTTCAGATTACAGCATTTTACATTGAATTAATTTTGAAGGTGTTTTTAATTTTGAAGACCTGTTATTTTTCTTTTATTTATATAGATAGATTAGATAGGATAGATAGGATAGATAGGATAGATGGATGGATGGATGGATGGATGGATGGATGGATGGATGGATGGATGGATAGATAGATAGATAGATAGATAGATAGATAGATAGATAGATAGATAGATAGATAGATAGATAGATTTTTTTTTCAGCCTGCTGGGCACCTTTAGAATCCTGAAACAGAGTGGTGGGTACATCTACAAAATGGCTGCTGCAGTAGGTGTAGCCAACCACAAAGTGTTAAGGAGTGAGGTCATGCATAACTCTACTAGTAACTCTTAAACAGACCAGCTGCCTGAAATGTTAAACAGGATGCTTTTTAAAATGAACAAATTGTTTAAAAATATTTTCTTGCATACATGCAGCTTACTTTCAGTCACACAGTGAAGATCTTTGTGTTGTGCTAGCAGCTGATGCTGAAACAACTTTTTAAAAATCTGCACAGCCAATCAGATCTTCAATGACCACTCAGAAGCCCTGCTGGGCAAAAGCTCCCCCCGGCCCCTCCCACTTTCTAAAAACAGCTGGTGGGCATCTGGAAAGTGTTAGTAGGTGCATCATGGTGCCCATATCTAAATATTTTACATTGAGAAATTTTTATTGGAAACCTCGTTTAGAAACACAACTAACTGACAGATAAAGAGTGCCTCTTGTTAGTGGAAACAGTCCAATGAACAGCAGCACCAGCTCCTACCTGATGAGCCCAGCTGTTTTGCCCAGCTGTGATTTCTCTGCTTGCTTCCCTCTCTGTTTCATGTCAGCCAGTCGCTGCCGCATATTGATGGTCATCTCAGAACTCAGCCGCCAGATGAAAATACAGCTGAATGCAAGAAATACATAATTATACCTTGTTTCAGACTCAAGTATCCCAAACTATTCCAGCCATGTCTTCAGAAAATTAGCTCTCCTGACACTTTCTATTTTTTCCTTGGTATCAAATCCTGGAGACCCACTCAATTATGTTCTATACCTCAGTAGGATCTATTGGATTCTTTCTGTTTTTAACCATCAAGTTACATCCCACTTATGGCAACCCCGTATGGTTTTCCAGACAAGAGACGTTAAGAGAAGATTTGCCATTAGGGGTGTGCGCTTGGTATAAACCAAGCAGAAGAAATACCCAATAAATACCTTATCAGTTGGTTTATAACCCGCCCTCCATGTACAACAGGGCTCAGGGCAGGGGACAACATTTCCAATATACTATTCAAATACCAAATATTGTTAAAAACAGTTAAAAGCAACCTAAACTATTCAACAAAGAGCTTAGAGATAGAACATAAATATACAGCTTAGCATCCTTCACTGGTGGGTGGAGCAGGAAGGAGGAGCCAGGCTAGATGGAACCCATTGCTTGCAGTCTTACAAGCCCTGTGGAATTGCATTACATTCCTCAGGGCCACGATGCCATTCGGCAGGGAGTTCCACCAAGTAGGCGCCAGGGCTGGGAAGGCCCTGGCTCTGGTTGAAGACAGCTGGATATTTTTCAGGCCAGGGATCACCAGTAAGTTCTTGCTGAATTTTTCAGCTCAGCATTTAGAGATGGTCCCTTTAAATGCATTTTGCATGCCCCACCGTGAGTGAACTCCAAAGCAGCAAGTTCACTCTTCTGGGATCACTTGCAGTGCGGCTTGCCAAACACATTTAAAGGAACTGTCCCTAAATGCCAAGCTGAAAAATTCGGCAATCCTGATTAATTCCTGAATTCCAATACCATATCGATATTAGGATTCAGAAATGTTGGGGAAAACTAATATTTTTCAGGTTCAATATACCCAAACCCCCAAAATACTGATTTTGTGTGTGCACATCCCTATTTGCCATTGCCTGCCTCTGTGTAGCGACCCTGGACTTCCTTGGTGGTCTCCCATCCAAATACTAACCAAGGCCAACCCTGCTTAGCTTCTGAAATCTCATGTGATGAGGCTAGCCTGGACTATGCAGGTCAAGGAAAACCTACTGCTTTCAAACTTGTATTGAAATGAGGAAGGGCCAAACACCTCAGTTTGGAAGTCCTAGATTTTAGACAACAATGCTCCGTAAGACAGAAACTTTCTTTTAAGAAGAAATACAAATTATGGAGAAAAGTATGACTTAGTCATAGGGCACATGGTTTGCCAAAAGAAGGTCCCGTATTCATTTTCTGGCATCTCCATTTAAAGGAACTAAAGTAATAGGTTGTGGTAAGAGAGATCCTACCAATGAATAGACAATACTGAGCTAGAAAGACTCATACACCCAGCCAACACAATCACTGGACCCAACGGCATCAACTACACCATCAGAGGCTCATTCACTTGCTCATCTTCTAACATTGTATATTCCATTAAATGTCTACAGTGCCCTTCGGTTCTCTACATAGGACAAACAGGACAAACCCTATGCCAGAGGATAAATGGACACAAATCTGACATCAAGAATCACAAGATTGAGAAACAGGTAGGAGAACACTTCAACCTTCCAGGACATTCAATGGGTGACCTCAAGGTAGCTGTTTTATTACAAAGGAACTTCAGTACAAGGATGGAAAGGGAAATTGCTTAATTACAAGTTATTACAACACTTGGAACAAAAACCTTCCCAGTACTCAACAGGGATATTGTTTTTTTATCTCATTACATATGCTAACTCACTCAGTCCTCACATATGTATTCGCAACAAGAAGGACTACAAATACTATGTATTCTAGTGTATTTCTTTTTCAGAATAGTATATTAGAATACTGAATGTAATGAAAGGGATATTGGGATGTCTGCTGACAACACGACATCCCCCTCAAAAACTGCTGTCAAGTGCCCTCCACACCTGAGAGGAGAGAATTAAGATTCTCAGTTACTTCCCACAATTAGAAAAGACACCTCTGGACATTTATCTGCTATTTTGACATATTTATTGCTTTACAACTGCTGAACTTATAACCTTGTTATTTAGTTGAACAAAACTAAATTGCGATTTAGTTTTCACTTTGCATATCTTGAACGTCATCATGTTACATGTTAATCTGCTGTTCATTCTCTGGCTATAAGTTTGAGCCTTACCTGCCATTCCAATGTATTTGAAGAAGTGTGCTTTGCACACAAAAGCTCATACCTTGAATAAACCTTTGTTGGTCTTAAAGGTGCCACTGGACTCTAAATTTGTTCTATCTGACTCAGTATAAGGTAGGCTCATACATTCATTTTAGGATAGGAGGCAAAGGAGGAATTGTAGGGACAGCCCATAGGAACTGTTACTTGGAATCAAATTCATCTGCTGTTAAAGTTTAAAAGATAATGAGGAATTCTACAGGGCAATGTTGTCAAAAATAATTTACATTCTCAAAAAGGTCTTCCAAAAGAAGAAACCTTTTGGGGGGAATAAGGGTTTTTTTTTCTTTGTCTTTTCATTCTTAAAATTTCAAAATTAGGGTTTTTTTCATCCAGTCCTATAAATGTGGGCTGTTTCAAGCCAATTGGAGGTACAGATATTTTAAACGTTCAATAGCAACTTCTGCTTACAAATAGTGTGGGTGGGACTTTAAACTGTGGAGAACTTCACACCATAGTTAATCCATCTCTGTCTCTGGACTTTTGAATTTGTACACCATACACAAATATTAGTTTTAAGATGGCCTCAAACTGTTGACCCATTCAAATGATGAAAAAAAGAACTTCATAGTAAACGTTATTTGATTACCTGTCACCTGAGACAGAGATCAAGTGTTTACAGTCATTGGTGAACATCATCCCAGTTACAATCTCTGAAAAAAATCAGAACAAGCAAAACGGTTTTTGAAACATCCCATGAGCACTGTTGGAGTTCCTCAGCTCTACTCAATAATGCTACGGAACCCTATAAATCTAGAAATCAGAGGCTTAAATGTATTTATTGTCCTGTTAGAGGGACTTATTGGAGTGGTGCAGACACATGGGTCCTTCTCATGTAACCTATGAATGACCAAGGACAGGAGCAATGATGGCATGGGAAAGGACCCACGAGTCACCCCAGACACATAAAGCCTATGCCTTTAAATGTTACAGTAGGGTGTTTACATTAAACCTAGGATTTGCCTGAAGTGTGTGTGTGATCATAGTGTGCACATTTCATGCTTCCCTTGCTAATGTTTCAAGACTCAGAAATATTGATAGTTCTGTGAATATTATCATTAACAGTGAATCCTTAAGCAGAGTTATACCCTAAGCCCACTGAAGTCACTGTATGTGTTAGACTCATTTATTTCTACTAAAAAATGGAAACTGAGATTTTTCCAACTAATATTCACCAAAAGGTTCTGCAGTTTACCTGAGTGCCCGTACATTGTGGCTACACACTCCCCTGAGTAGAAATCAAATATACAAAGGTTCTTATCGGAGCAACTTGTTGCAATGTAGAGACCAGAGGGATCCATTTGTACCTGAAACCGAAAAGATAAAGAATTGCATCAAATATACCAACTGTACAATTTCCTTACTTTAGAAGAGCCCTGCTAAACTCTGCAGTATTTTACTAAGAGTGTGAAGCAACTTGGGGTTTACTAAGTAAGCACTATTAAACCTCACTGATTTCAAAGGAGAATGAAACATGCTTAACTTTTCCACTTGGACTCCTATGTTTGATCTGGTAGGGTCCCACATTTTGTTTCACACAAGTCATTGTTCATTAAAACATTATTCTATATGAATGCTAATCCTTTCAACTAGACATCCTTCAATTCTTTATGTGTGCAAGCTATGTGCCATAGAGGTGCTTTGGACTTGTGGTGATTCTATTCTTTAGTGCACACGAAAGCTTATACCCAGAATAAACCTTTGTTAGTCCTAAAGGTGTTCTGCTGTTCTGCTGCTTCAGATCAACACGGCTACCCACCTGAATCTGTCTTCATGGAAGGCCCCACATTGGTTTACCTAATTTGTTCTAGGGTGCAGAACCTATGTTGTCTAAATGCCAAGATGTTTTATTTGCTGTGCACAATACACCTAGTGTGGTGTAGCTAACAGCCTTACAGTTTTTGTTCCTGTTAAGAAACTTGGTCTTATGACCACATATATGGATAAGAGCACCACCAATGAACACCTTCATAAGCTTCCTATTATACTGGCTAAACTAAACATTACACTTCAGGAGTCACTCAAAAATGCAAGCGATACCCAGTGCTGGCTTTGATCTAGATTTCAGCTATTTATCCACAAATCTTTCCCACTGACAATAGCACCATTTCCTTGGTCTCACAGATTTCTAAACAGTGCAGAAACAATGTGGAAAGCAAGGAACTGATCAGGCTAGAACAGGCTCTTCTTGAATCAAATAAATCCATTTGAGCATACTTGTGTACAGTGTTCTTCAACAGCTGAGAAATTATAAAGCAAAACAGCAGAAAAACACAAGGCTACAACACAGCACGCAGGAATCTTCAAAAGCTGGTGAACAAAGTGCCCTAGGATCTTGTAAGAGACAGATAAATAGGATGCACGGTGTAATGTATCCAGTCCAGACCGCGTGGCCGGCTTGGGCTCCACGTGGTCAGATCCAAGAGACAATGGACTATGCAGATCCTAGCCCACTCCAATCAGGGGGCTAGGTTCCCGGCCGAGAGCCTATGAGACTCTCGGCCACTGTAAATAACCTATTAGGCAGTAGGGGTGTGTTTTGGGTGGCTGTTTCTCGGGGGATATAAGCTGGCCTGCGAGCCGGCCCAAGTCGTCTTGTTCCTATTCGAATAAAGTACGCTTTGCTGAAATCACTCTCCATCTGCGTACTTTTCACACACAGTTTTGTGATATGAGTCAGGATATAACAGTAGTAGTGAAGCTATCTGGACACAACTTTAAAAATAAAGCACCAAGATTGATTAATCTGTAGCCAAAATCCATTCCACTGTGGGGTCAGGGACTTTAGACAATTGGGAAGGGGTATGTGTGTTTTTTTCGAGGGGGGGTTTTACTATAATCACTTTATTTTGCATTTACAGCTAGGATGCCCTGATGATACAACCAATATGTATACAAATGAATGCTGCATTGAAAAAGTGCAAGGCCTCCAAAGATGTAAAGTCCGGAGATACTGTTGCTCAGTCAGCACATTACATCCAAATATGACCCACACACACACATATACAGCATGAAATCAAGAGAAAATAGGAAGAACTTAAATTAGTGGGGGGCTTACTTTGATGAGAGTGCCATCTTCACTTTGGGATCCTTTATATAGCTTTTTTTGCTTCCCACTGCTAATGTTGAAAATCCTAAGAAGAAAACAAGGCAGAACTTAACATATGAGGAGCTCTTCCACGATCATTCAGTTTCCAACAGTAACCCAGATGGATCTGGGGGGGCTGACAGACAGAAAGTGTTCATAGGTATACAGCCTTTGAACATGGGGTAGGGTTGCCAACCCCCAGGCAAGGCCTGAAGATCTCCAGAAATACCACTGATTTCCAGTCTACAGCAATCAGCTCCCCTGGAGAAAATGGCTACTTTGGTGGGTGAATTCTATGATATTATAACCCACAGAGGTCTTTTACCTCCTCAAATCCCGCCTCCCCCCAAGGCTCTACCCCCAAATTTCCAGGAATTTCCTAACATAGGGCCAGCAACCCCAATATGGGGGTTTTACTTAGCTATCTTGGCTAATATCTTCTTGCTGACAGACCTATTCTCCTAGCAATCACCATCTTATCTTGTGGTACCTTATGGTTTGTGTACATTAACAGAGCATTTCCACCTCCTAGAAATACAGCTCTTGCTGCTTTTTCTATTTGGTTCAAGAAATCAAAGAAAGGTGGCTATTTTCAAAATGAGATGTTCTGTCTATTTTCCTAATTACTGAGGCTGATGGGAAAAAAAATAAGCATTCATGTGATATTTATTTCTTTATTTAATTTATACCCCGCCCTTCCCACTAGAGCAGGCTCAGGGCAGCTTACACAGTTTGATACATAAATAACAATTAAAATCTCCATTAAAAATAATTAGCTAATTGTTACCTGTTACCATATATACTAAAGGCCTCACCTAGAAATTTAGGGGACCTTTACCTAAAACTATTGAAGAAGGAAAAAAAACTGTTTCGGTCCTGGAATGGAGAAGAGGAAGGCAGCCACAAGAGTTGTTCATAAATTCAAAAGCTGGCACAATATCTTAGGGTTATTTTGATTGGCCTTAATAAAGGGTATTACATGATGTTTGTTTTTGGATTTTGCTTTGGAGCAACATGGCAGCTTGCCATCTCTTTTTATTTGGAAACTGCACAATCAGCAGCCAAAGATAGGAAGTTTATCCGGAGAGAGCCTGAGCTCATAAGGTTTGCTGCCCCCATGACTGGGTAATATTGGACAATTTAATCTCTATTGACTGTTTACTGAGTGACTCACCTAAAATTAACCTACAGTTTTGTTAATATAATGACTACTGAGTTTTTCTTCTGCTCTTGATCTTTTAAAGCACCTGCATGTTCTGTTTGGTGATTAGAAAGACATTTGATCAGTGGATCAGTTTTTATATTTTCCATTGGAAATTTCCTTCCTTACTTGTACAGCTTGACGCCAGCTCAAACCTGCACCATCCAGACCTAGACAGGATGGCTCAAACCTTTAGATGAGTGCCTGAAATGTATTCCCCCCCCCTCCAAACTCCAGCCTTTCTGGTGCTTTTTTAGCTTGCTCAACATTTCATTCATGTCAATTTGACAAGTCCTAATAAAAAGTATTAAATGGTTTTAGATTCTGATTTGGACAAATAAGGCTACTTGCAATCACAATTCGAAATAAATGTCACACTCACCTTAGCTGTGCTCACTCTTTTTGCCACTTGCAACTCTATTCCTGTGCAATTTTAACATACTAATTCTAGCATACCCACTAGAACACACTGAGTGCAATCCTATGAATATTTATTCAGAAGCATGTTCTGCCCATTTCAATGTTACCCTTGGCTACACTTCTGTTTCCTGGTTCCATTCCCAACATGCACTTTTTACTATTCTCAGTAATTTCCTTTGCCTATACAATGAGTACTACAGGATAATATGAGGATGGGCATCCACTGCCACATTATTCCCACTTGGGATGAAGATGTAATTATTCAAGATCCTGGACTGCCCTCATCAAAATCAGCTGGTTTCTTCCTAGCCACATGGACCAGGGGACTACATACGGGGAGGGGAGGGACTGAAATCCTCCTGTGCCTTGTCAGAGGAATGCTGGGTGAATGTAGCTCACCAGGAAAGCCAATAAGTAACCCATATAAAGCACAAGAGGACCGCATGAAGAACACGCCACAGCAAGGCTCAAAATTAACTCCTTAATATTATACCAGAACCCCTAAAGTAAAATGGGGCATCTATAGATGTCCCACTTCACTTCTAGATCCAGAGAACAGATGCCAAAAGACAAGGGAAGAAGCAGTATGGATCAAAATGAGTTCCACAATGACATCAATGGTCAGTTCAAATTAGTTAAAATGTAAAGCAAACTAGTCTTTTGCAAGTACAACTTAAAGGTAAAGGTAAAGGTTCCCTTGCTCGAAAGCCAGTCGAATCCGACTCTAGGGTTGCGGTGCTCATCTCCGTTTCAAAGCCGAAGAGCCAGCGCTGTCCGAAGACGTTTCCGTGGTCATGTGGCCGGCATGACTAAACACCAAGGTGCACGGAACGCTGTTACCTTCCCACCGAAGTGGTCCCTATTTATCTACTTGCAATTTCTTGCTTTCGAACTGCTAGGTTGGCAGGAGCTGGAACTAGAGACAGGAGCTCACCCTGTCTTGCGGCACCCGGGTCTTGAACCGCTGAACTACTGACCTTCCACAGCCTGCAGTTCAGTGTCTTAACCACTTGAGCCACCACAGCTCCTCCAACAACTCAGTAAGTATGGAACTTAAAAGGAAACACCTATAATGACTGGGATTTTAACCACAAAATAGGTTCAGTTTCTCCTCCAGACGGACCACTAGCAGCAGCATAACAGAATATGGCAAAGTATTATTTAATACCCCTCACTCTCCTCTGCCACTACATTTAGCCCAAAAGATTTCTACCAGCTCTCTGCAGACACCATCCTGCTTCCAGCTCCCTCTTTCATTCCTTCTAGCTCACTACCAGTGACCCAAATCTCTCCCCCTCTTCTCCAGGCAGCAGCTTTCCCTCACTCCCACCCTCTGCAACATCTTTAAGCACAGTCCCCTGGATTCAGTTACAGGAGTTTTCTAGCCCCTGTCAGTTGCTGCCTACACATTTGCCTGTCTGTCTCTCATCTTGGCATCTCCTTTCTCTTGGTACCAGCACACACACACATACACCCCTTGGCTGGGTGGAACATTACTGTAAAATAAGGGAATAATCACACTACGAATGAGATTGTCATTATTGCATGTATGTACTGCCATTCTTTAACTTATGTCTTTGCTTTCCTTCTTTGATCTATCCACAACTTGGTCAATAAAGTTTACTATTGTTTATTAGAAGTGTATTTCTTTCAAAGTCCTTTGAAGAAGGGCCATGACAAGGCAAGCCAGTGCTTACACAGTCCTAAGTAATCCCTAGGTTGTTGGGGGTGAGCACTTCCAGGGATGCCTACATATGCTAGCCTCAGGTTTTGGGTAACATAACAGCTTTCAATAAAAGCCACAGAAGTATTGTTTATTGGTGAAATTAAGTATTACATGATTTGCTAACAGGCTGAGAGCAGAGGAAACATCTCTGGTAACTAGTGAACCAACCTGATGTTCCGGTCCTGGCATCCAATAGCAGTATATTTCCAGTTAGGATCCACATCCATGTCATACAAAGTGGTCTTCCTAACAACATGATGCGTACGAGTAAACTGGACCCCATCTGCTGTCTAAGCACAAGAAACATAAAAGGAATGAAAACCAGTCCAATGACATCTCTCACTAGCAAGAGGCAGACAAATTCTCCACAGAGCCAAATTACAGCTCCAATTAAGCAAACTGTTGTTGAGCCATCCTACACAATTTCTTACAGTTTGGTTCTGCTAAAATGCAGAGCAAGTCCTATAACCATCCTATCACAATGCTGCAGAATTAAAATAAGCCACAACAGAATGGAACAGGGCATGAATCATCTAAAGCTTTTCTTCCACCTTCAGTCTTAAAATAGCTCTATCTCATAAGTTACAAAAAAAGGATAGTCTAATGGAATTACCTTCTGTGCAGTGCGGAAATAGATACTCTTATCTGCTCCACAGCTGATCATTCGTACCTTTCCATCATTGGCTAAAGGAAGAGAGAAACACATAGGCGCATGAGCAGACAGCTATAAAACAAGCAGCTACTCCTTAAGTTCTTTGGGATCATTTGTGGAGTAGCAGTTAGAATGCTGGACTATGTGTGAGGAGATTAGTGTTCAAATTTCTGTTCTACCATTAAGTTCACTAGCTGACCTGGGACAAATCAATCTGTTCACAAGCACTGTTGTGAAGATAGACTGAGAGGGTAGAAAAATGCACACCACTCTCAGCTCTGTTAAAGGAAGATGGACTTCTCGGGTAATTTTACAGCCCATAGGGTATTGTTCCATAGGTATGGAACACAGAAAAGCCATTGCTGAACTTTCTGCAGGGAGAAGCTGAAACTGAAGAAAATGGTGCATCCCATGAGAATAACCAAGCATCTTAAGCATGAGGTATAATCACAAGTCAAATGATTCTGAAAGGTTTTAGTTTAAGCTTCTGCTAGAAAGCAGGGCCATCTTTTCACTGGCTGCTTATAGATAAACCCCTACAATGTAACACTAGAGACAAAAACAAGTGTTCCACAAAAGATACCTGCAAATAGCTTTGCACCACTGAAGCAAGACAGCCAGACCCTTTGCTTCAGTACTGAACTGACCACTTGTCCTCTCTGCCTACTTTGAATACTTTAGAGAAAGACTAAATGTCTTGGAGAGCGAGATTCAGGATCATATTGGGGGAACAGGTAGGGCTTTCATTATCATAATAAGTTGCATCCAAGCTACCAAATCACAGAAATCAGTTAGGGAAGTTGCCAATACGATCTGCTACTCAAAGCTGAAATAAATAGCAGGTGCACAACTGTCGTCTGGTAATGTACTCCATTACCTGCAAATTTTACTGCTGTGATGGAAGACGAATGCTCATCCAGGGTTTGTTGTAGGCTGTAGTCCTTCCCTGCATCCAAAACATGGATCAGCCTGTCCCGACTAGCTGACGCTAGAAGCTTTAACCCTGTCACATAAGAAAAAGTGATGGTTCCTCCTCCAGTCCTGCACTCAAAGCATTCTCTCAAGCTGGACTTCAAAAGGAGCACAATGCACTTTGCCACACTGGAGCTGAGCACACAGAAAAAGCTTCTACCCTGTTTCCCTGTGTGACTGTAAAAAGGCTAATGGTTAATAATCTGTGAATGACTGAGGCTTAGATTCCTCTGGATTCTTTTGTGCTTAGTGTTGTATGGTCTCTGCAAGAGAGCAGGCAGAATACAGTTTGACTAAGTGGACATAGCTGGTGTCTCTTGAGACACAAACAAATAAGCAAAACTTTACCCATTGTTAACTGAGAAAGGCGAAAAGATGGCCTTACTGTTAAACCTTTGTAAAAATAAATCTCAAAGATATCAGCAATCAAAACAGCTAACAGTCTTCCAGGGGCTATTTTTCTGTACCAGGAAAGAGATTGGAGAGGGGAAGTTGGCCTGGAGGTGTTCACATATCCAGAGCATCAAACAGATAAACTCAAAAGCTTTACAATCTCTATATTTATAATCTATGTAGGAGAAGCATCACCAGCACCCTGGACCTGAGGTCAGCAACAACAATCACAAAAACTCACCCAGCAAGTTGGAAATGAAAAGTTTGTTTATTTTTATATTTATATCCCGCCCTCCCCGCAAATGGGCTCAGGGCAGCTTACAAGAGGGCAAGCTAAATTTCATAAGCCATGTCCAATTTAGGATGTTACAGAATAGTGTGGGCAAAATTCCCAGTACTATATCCAAGGTTCCCTCTAAGCTGTGGAGTCCTGTCAGCAAAAATTCTACTTTGTGAGCTACTTGCATTAAAGTTGTGAGCGAGAGATTTGGCTCCTGCATTAATTAGTGTGCTCTGGAGTCATTCTTCCTGAGCTAAGGCAAAAATGTGTGAGCCGGAGGCTAAAAAGCTGTGAGCTAGCTCACACTAACTCAGCTTAGAGGGAACACTGATTATATCTCACTGAGACTTTTTCCATTATCTTGTTGGGCTGAGTCAGCTAGCAATAGCTTCTGCTGTGTTTTACCATCCTTCTGAAAAAAATGCATTTCTGCTCCATAAGCAATCTTCTTTTGCACTGTAGTGACTGAGGCCTAGTACAGTTACCATAAGCAAGTGAACAGTGGGCTAACAACCTTACCTGTCTCCGGTTTGGAGTACTCAAGACAGAGGATTTCAGAATCATGGGCTTCCACCTTCAGCATCTCTTTCAAGGATTTCAGCTCATAGATCCTGAAACAGTACATAGAGATAGAAGTTCAGAAAGGGTATTCTCATTGCTATTGGAAAAGGCCAGGGCCTCCCCAAGAATCCAAAAGCTTACCTGAGAGTGCCTATTCTATCACCTGAGGCCAGGTGCTCCCCAGTGGGACTCACAGACACTGTACGAATCCCCATTTTTGTGTCTTGAGCCTGCGCATCAACCTTGTCTGCACCTCCACCCGTATTGTACTCTGTGTCCAAAAGGGCCTGAGTGTTTCCATCTACATAGATAATTTTCATCAGGTCCTTAGAACAGAAAAAACAAGAAGCCCATATGAAGAAACAAGATGATAGCAAAGATGATCAGAATAAGACAAGATGAATGGTTATAGTACAAGCTCCTTTTGACAACAGCAGAGGCAATAAATAGCATATGCTGATTTGCTGGTCTGACTCCAAAGCGGCTATTTAACAAAGTAAAAAAGGTCAAAGGCAGACTGATGATTAGGCTTGCCAACTGCCAGGTCTGGCCAGGGGATTCCCTGGTTGCAGGAGCTTCTCCCCACCACCACCACAGACCAGCTGCCAGCGGGAGAAACCCCACCCCTAAATAGGGACGTCACTGTGCGACACAATGACGTCACCCAGAAGTGACATCATCACATTGGGGGTGTTGCGCAAGGACGTTCTGGTATTTGGACAAACTCTGTAGTTTGAGGGTGAAAAAACCATAGAGTTTTGCCCAAATACCAGAGCATCCCTGACCACACACACATCCCCAGAATGCCCCCAAAATCCCCCCGCCGGAGTGACGAAAGGACCTGGCAACCCTACTGATGATAGAAAATAGTTGTAATAGTATCCTTTGATACTAACATTTCTTTAACCCTCAGATACAGGTTATAAAACTTAAAAAGATACAAGGATATTGGGGGAGCTCTTATCAATTTTGTTACAATGCAGGTAGTTTAAATTATGGTAAGTTACTGGAAAAGGCTTTGGATTGCCAAACTGGACACAAAGTCTGCAGAACAACCACCCAGTTTAATCTCCTCTGCAAGAATGCACCAGAGGAACCTAATTCTATATTACTTGGATGTCACATTCACAGGAAGCCAGTAAATCAAACAAAGAATCATGTTCACCAAGAATAAGTACAGTGGAAATAACAACAAGAAGAAAGTCTGTTACTTCTCGAACATGTACATGCAAGTGGAGAGAGCCAAGTAATCACTTACTGCTCATTATTTTTTAAAGCCAAACCAAAAGTTTATTCTGGCTGGCTGAAATGATATTTGGTTACATGTTCAGGCACTTTGCATGGGGGGAGGCCTGTTTCTTGCATTCAAAATAGGCAGTAAAAGGAAGGAAAAATGTTAGAAGTAAAAACATAGGTTACAATCGGAGACCAAACCAGATACCGTTTTCCTAAATGAAGCATAGCTGGGCTGTTACACTAATATATGTAAATTAAAAGACTATGTTGCCTAGCAAACACATTAAGTTGTAACACCAGCTCAGCATTCCGTCTCACACTGAAGAGCAACATGTGAAGCATTCCATTCCCAAAGGTGTCCTTACATTGCTTAGAATGTTCCGATGCCGAGCAGTCCCATGAATGTTTGAACTCTCCGTGTTCCACAGGCGGATGGTGTTATCCGAGGAACACGTGATGAAAGAGTTTGGGGGTAAGCAAGACTGATTGCTGTCCTTCACCTCAGGGTACACCTGGAAGGAGGCAACAAAAACAGGACAAAGATAACCTGTATCCTAAGGCACTAACCATCACCTCCGTAAGGGTAGCTGCCCTTTCAGATGCAGAAAGGAGGCAATTCATTTGCATAAGAATTCCCATCAGGCTAACCTACAGGGAAATAAAGACTAAAAGGGACCCTGTACTTTTCACTATTGTTAAGAATCTGACACTGCAGCCCTGCCAAGCAAGTCAACAGCCAATGGCCATAATTACTTATTTTACACAAAAATGCATAATCACAGTCATCTTTTGAAACTGGTCACCCTGGCCAAATTATAAATCCAGTTCTATAAAACAGCCAGGTGGTAAATTTTGGGGAGTAATTGGTTCTTTAAATGAGAACCTTGCTGTTTACATAACACTCCTAATGTTCGTTTCCACTCAGTAGAAGTAAATTCCATGAGAGTGTTAAACTTTTTTACAAGCAGTGCACCAGCAGGGAGCAGCACTCAGCCACTGCTGCGATCTTTTGTTATGCTGGTGTAACTGCTGCTGATAAAAGAGCACTCTAAAAAGCCTGCCCAGTTCTCTTTGTTTCTTTTCTGACTAACCAGAGAGAGAAAGCTTCTGGGCTCACAGAGGAGCAGGTCAGTCACATACACAAACGACATCTGACGACAGCTTATGCTACAATAAAGTTTGTTAGTCTTAAAGGTGCTACTGGGCTTTTTACTACAAACTGAAAAGACAGAGCAGTGGTCTGATGCTCAGAAGATAGCTGCAAGAAAGCAGCCATTTGAGAAAAGGGCAATAAGCAGGAAGCTTCGTGTTGTAAGTGGCTTCTTTACCTGATGTCTCTCCTGCATGCAGTCAAGGTTCATACTGGCAGGTCACTGATAAAAACTGCATGGCCTTTGACAGCACAGAAGAATATGAATCAAGGCAAAAGCCTGACAGCTGGCAAACTGGCAATTCATCTTCTTCACTTACGAAGCGGGTTTTAATTTACAGTAAATGCCCAAGCTTAGCCCTTGGTTCTAAGAGCCTGCACACTGCTCTCAGTTATTTTAATACAAAGATGTTTTCTTTCTCCTCTCCCTACCTTTCTACTTAGCCTCCATTTCTACAGTTTCAGTGGGTTGTTACAATATTTCTCCCTCCTGCAATCAAAAGCCATGAGTGTTGGGGAGAACTTGCTCAAAGAGGGGAATAAAATTTGGGTTCACATTCTTGCCATAAGGAGAACTGATTTTATAAATTCCTTAAATCTGTAACCCATCAACAACAGGACCTCTCTCTTTCAACCTCTACTTCTCCCACCCTCCCATAACTTCCCAGTTTAATTACCTCAATGCTCCAAACACACAAGGAGTGGTATAAGGCAGAATAAACCTTGCCCACTTTCTTGGGATCCTTGACATCCCATACATACAAGCTGTGATCATTGTAAACACATGACAGCCACTGGTTGTTGGGGTCAAAGGTCAAGGCGATGGTATCTGGATACTTGGCATCAGTCGTATTGGAGAACAACCGGCTGTAAAAACAATGTGCATATATGTGTTTAGAAAACTATATAACATAGAAAGCTTTTCAAAAAAATCTACAGAAGCTACACACCCACAGAAATGTTACTAGCTTGCCTACTCAGACATAACCACATTTATTAAGTATTTTTATCCCACTGGTCGGCTAAAACACTGGTTCTTAGAACATATTAAAGACAACTAAAATCCCCATAAAATGCTAAAATTCTTTTAAAAATGGTTATGAAACACCATCTGTAAGTAAAATAGAACCTATTCCTCCCTCCCCTTGAGAAAGACCTCTCTGCCTTGTCACCTGGAAGCTATCATCACATCTTCCTCACCTGCACAAACAAGTGGCTCCTTATGTCTATGTCAATAATCTTTATTCCCCTATTACCGTTATCAGAATTTAAATTATGAGTTCCTCAGTGCAGGATCCCATTTTTTTTGCTGAGGTAACTTTGTGAAGTGCTCTCATTATATTGCTGCTCTCCTGTTTTCAAAGTGGGTCCCCAACATTTTTATACGAATAACCTTAAATAAGCTGGGAAACAGTGGGCTTGGAAGAAGCCTCCTGTGTACTAGATGAGCTTTGTAGGTATGTAAGAAAACTGTTGGCAAACTCGGACTCTTGTTTGCCATGTTTTGGGGGATTTGGGGCCTGTAGAGGGAGGGAAATTCCTGACAGAGGGGTGTGAGTGAGCAAGTGTGTGAACGGCTCTGTTGTAGTGGTGATGCAACTCTTCCTAAAATACCTCCCTACGCAGGGATGACCTTGGAGATGGCTGTGCTTGCTTCGCTGTCTTAGGGAAAATAACAATATATTCACAGGTGGGGGTGTAGAGCACGCGATTGTGGGGTATAACTGGACAGAACCCAAAGGGAGGGCCTGGTTTGAACTGTCTATAATTGGGGATTTTGCCACCAGAAACTCAGTTCTGACACAATACTGATCTCAGCTTGAAACATCTTTATTCATCAATAAACAAATCACTGCCAGAGAGTGTTGTTGAGAGTAATTTTGTCCAAGAGTCTAACAATTTTAAATGAAACTCACACAGATCCCCCCCCCCGACAATAGAATCCATAAGGTCCAAGAGCTATTTGTGCTGCTCTCATGCTGTCAGTGAAGGTCCCTTCACTGGGGAGAAAAGCTGGGTACAAATGAGGTAAGTGTTGGAGTGAGAGACTCAGCATGCCTGAACATTGGGGAGTGTTATAGAAGTTATCTCCTTGAATGTTATGCATCTCTTTGTCTTAACCTGGGAGCTGCCCTCTGACCCCTACTCTCTTGCTTTATCCTTTCACTCCCTGGACATGGCCTTCCATGGAGACACATGTCTCTACAGGTCTCTCCTGTAGGTACAGTACCCTCATACTCCCTCACACATGATGCTGGACAAGCTGGCCATTTCTGATAGGGAAAGTACTCTTTAGAATAGGCTTCTCTTTCTCTTCTTTGAACTGCAACCTGAATATGAACTGGATCTACTTGAATAAATGTAAGTCTACAATTGTTTGCAAGATACCGCTTGGAAGATTTATTTACTGCACTCAGTATCATGCTTCGATGACTGGGCAATACTCTACTATATTAACCAAATATTCCAATAGTAAGTAAGTAAATAGACAAAATAGCCACTGCAGAGAGCAGCCGTACAGACACAACTGCGTAGCAGTCTAGGGTTGGCTTTCCTTCAGTCTGGGGTCCAAACAGGTGGAGAGGATGCACACATCCCCTGAGTACCCCCTCAGAGCTTAAAGTGCACAGGGAAGAACTGTATGGACTGAGGCTAAGCAACAACCATCTCATAAAACACTTCATTCTCTCATAACCAAGAAGAGCCCACCAGGTGGCAGCCAATCCCTTCAGTTTGTGTGTGTTGGGGGGGGGAACTATACATGCCTGCCTGCATTGTGCTTTCTGCAGTGACAATGTTCTTTGGCAGCACATATAAGGTCTTGGTCCCTGTAGGGTTTTTTTTTGGGGGGGGAGGGGGGGATCTGCTATTTTTTTAAAAAGACAACCTACAATTTCCAGTTTAAAGGAATGGGAAAGGGATTATTTGTTAAAGAAGTGTACCCTCACATGTGCTTTCACTAGAGTCCAACCCTTCCCCTCCCCGGTTAATATCAGACCCAGCCTAAACAGAAGGCACACCTCAATGTGCCTGTAATGTTGTCTGTCTATATTGCATCACCTTCAACTGAATGAGCTCTCAGATAAGCATCCACCGGGTACCATTCCACGGAAAGCAACACATCCATGCTCATATGTACACACCAACACAAATAACCAGGTTTTTTTTGTGTTCCAATATTTAACATTTAGCAGCAATTGTATTCCCTGGCCCCAATGGTGATCAGCTAGTACATTTCTTCTCATCAGGTGCCACGTAGGTATTTTACTATGACAGAACATTCATTATCCCAGCAACCACACATCTAGATCAGCAACTGAAAAGCACAGAATAATGGAACAGCAAAAAGTCTTCACAATGGCAGGTGCAATCCTAAACAGTGTTGCACCCTTTTAAATCCATTAAGGTCAATGAACACAGAAATGTGCAACTCTGCACATAGCTACCCTGAAAAGAAAGCATTCATTTGGCACAGTTTTTATCCCACCCTTCCTCCAAGCAAAGCAGCAAGGAAGCAAAGATTGTACTGAAAGCCAAGTTATAAATGAGGCCATGGGCTGTGAAAAGCAAAAGACAAGCATCCCACAATGAAGTTATTGCATGAGTTGTTCTAATGACACCTGCGTGTTTTGACTTCCTTTAAAGCGGGGGGGGGGGGAACACATGTAGCTATCAATCTTCTTGGCTCACAAACCTCATACTTAAAAACCACCTGATTTTGCTGCATGGGGAGAAATGACAAACATGGTACAAGCAAAAGTTTTTGCAAGGGCTAGCATTTTCTTCATCAAGTGCTCCTAAAAGCCTCACTTTGTCATCCATTCCATGTGTCATGTTTAGCTCTCCATTTTAAAACCTCCTGTTTTTGTGAGGTCAATGCAACTCTCTTTAAACATTTATTCTGCCTTTCCAGTAAAAGCCTGGCTAAGAAAGATTAAAGCAGGGAGGGAATTTTTAAAAACACTTCAACCCAGAAGAACTAAATTCACATGCGCCAAGGGACAGCATGCATGGTCATTGTTTTTTAAGCTACAGCTTCAGGGATAAACATTCACACTAAAATGTCCTTTCAGATCTAGGAACTGATATGCTGAAATGGCACATACTTCCTCTGTGCATTTGTATGTATCTATTTCTCATTCTGTGGCAACAATATGGCCACAACATGCTAAAAACCTGGCAATGCCAGGTTACTGAAAAGCTGCCAGAAAGAAAAAACAAGAAGCTATATGAAAACATGAGAAAACTAGAAGCTAAATCAGTCATGTGTGCAGTGACAGACCTACATTTTTGGAATCCTGAAGCTCAAACTGTTATTGGGGCCCCTTCTCAACCAGCAACAATAGGGCAATATCCAACAAGGTCCAAAGGGCCTTGCTGCCCTTGCAAGGACCTCGAGGCCCAAACAGCAGAGAACGGGGTAGTGGGGTAAAGCCCTTGAAAATGGGGTATTAGAACATATTCTAAGGTCAATATTAAATACTTCAACCCATTAGTTTATGATTCTGTCACTAAAATAGCCTTATTTTAATAACTAACACTTAAAAAAAACTCCATCAATTTTGTTGAAAAATGTGTGGAATGTTCTCTGTTTTGATTAAATGTCTATTTATCAGGAAAATGCTATGGAAGGGTAACAAGAAGTGTTCCCGTTATGTATATATCCATGCATAGTCCTAGGCTTTGGGTCTGCAAGCAAGGACAGGAAAGGGCTCATCTATTTCCTACTAGGAAGATGTGCAAGAAACATTTTACACAGAACATCCCAGATACCTCAGATGAAAGACTCCAACAGAAATTCATTCTACCATTTGAGTTCCAAAAAGTAAGCTCTACAAGAAACTGCTTTGGGAATCAAGCAAGGAGACATAAATTTGTAAATAAGTAGACTTCTCCATATTAGTGTATGAAGCCAATTACAGTCAGACAGCTGGGCCATCTGGCCCAATACCATCTACTCTAATGGGCAGCAGCTCTTCAAGGTCTCATATAGAGGTATTTCCCAGCCCTGATGCAAACAGAGCCTTCACCTGGAACAATCAAGGGTTGGACCTGGGATATTCCACTGGCAAAGCATCATTCACCTATGAGCTCTCTTCACATGGATTACCATTAAAGGAGGATGAACTGCAATTGAGAGCCTAACATAGAAACAGACACTCCAATAATTTTTTTGAATAAATGTTATTGGTTTTATACTCTAATTCCTACTTCCTAAGGGTAAAGGGTAAGGGGAACGTACTATTTCTAACTTAAGACAAGATTTGACGTTGAGTTACAAATTCATAAATCACTCCTGCATTAACATGACATGTAAAAAAGTATGGAAACAGTGAGATCAAACTTTTGTCTGATGAAGATTAATTATGCTAAAGTCAAAAGTTTGTAATCCAAAGTATTAAGCTAAAATCAAAAATTTGTAATCCAGAGTAAATCGTTTATTTTTTGGGTTTCTTCTTCTTCACTCTGGATGCTTTGGTTGCTGCTTCTCCTTTCTCAGACTCTGAAGTCGAACTGCTGGAGTCACTTGAGGCATTATCCGTTTCTTCCTCACTGGGTTCCTCTCCTTCCTCCAAATTTAAATCATCGTCTTCATCTGGGCCCACTTGTCGTTTCAAAAAGTTTTTGGCATTTTGGACAGAGTCAATTTTGATTTTCTTATCGTTATATTTGAACACGAGTCCTTCTGGAAAGCTCCATCTGCAGGTAATTGATTTATTTTGCAAGAAAAGTATTTATATTGACGTCTTTATTTCTGGATCTCAAATGGAATGTCTTTTAAAATTTTAATTTCTTTCTCCTTAACTTTCAATATTTTTCCCGATGTAGTTTTTAAAACATTGTCTCTCATTGTTCTCTTAAAGAATTTAATGTAGATTTCGCCTGGTAGGTTGTTTTTTCTTCTAAAGTCAGGATATGTGCGATATGCCAAGTCCATATCGTTCTGGAGATCCTCTTGTTTCAAATCCGAAATTGCCACAACCGCTCCACTTAATATTGTTTTTAAATCTTCTCCCTGCTGTTCAGGAACTCCTTGAAAACGTAGAACATGCATAGATCTTTCCAGCTGAAGTAGAAGTAGTTCATTTTTATCAGTGTTTCTTTCTTTTTTAACTTCTTCCAGTTCTTGCTTAATGTCTATAGTTCTTGTTTCAACTTTCTCAATCCTTCTGTCTGTCTTGTTGGCTCTTTTTTCCATGTGGGCAAGTTGCTTTTGAACAGAATCCAGCTTGGTGTTGATAGTTGACTTCTGCTCCAGCAGAGGGCGCAATGCTGTGGCCAGCATATTGGGGAAGTCTGCAGCCGCTTCCTGTGTTTGGGTGGGAGTCGTTGGTACAGTACTTCCTGGGGGAAGTTTCTTCTCTGCCACCATTCTCCTCCCTCTCCCAGACATGTTTACAAAGAAGAAAAGTTTTATTTTTAAAGTAACGTTTGTCTGAATTCGGCGCTTCTTGGCTTAAAATGCAGCTTTCAAGCTCAGCAGAAGTCTCTTACAGTTAGTTTCGTTCTTTCTCTCTTTTCTATAGTGCTTAGAAACCACTCCGTTTTGAGAGGGGGGGTGAAACTCTGACCCTTCCCCACCCGCCGCTCCTTCCCTCAATGATCTGGCAGACCAAGACTTCTTCGCTTATATAGAGGTCTGATTAACTCACTGTTTAAGTGTATTTGATTGTTGCAAGAGGGTTATTTTCTTGTCCACTCGTCCGGCGGTCAGCTCTGAGCGCCATACTGGCTCCAGGGCGTCAGGACCTCTCGGGGACAGGCAAGCCTCGATTCCTCGGCCGTTGCCTTGGAAGAGGCTTATCCCGGCTCCCCAAGCTGGGGGTCTCCTACAGAGACTCCTGGGGGGTCTGGAACCAGCCATGACCCCTCCTGATCGCCTTGGCTTGGCACGTCTCCATCGGACGTTCGATGAGACGCGTCCAAGAGCAAGCCGCCATAAACCGGACCTCTGACACTCCAATAATTTTAAGCCCACTACACGGTAAGTACTGTTACAGATTTAGTTATGAAAATGAAGTACAATACTTTCCCTCTTTTCCTACCTGGCTTCAGTGATGCTTGCGATATCCGTTCCCAGAAAGTGAGGCTTAGGGAGTGTCGTCACAAAATGAAGGTTTGAAGGGTTAAAGATCCGCACCGTACCATCAGCACAGCCACAGAAGACGTAATCATGGCTCATAGAAATGCAGTTTGCCACAGTAGTCTAAGGACACAAGACACCAGTATGAGCAGCAGCATTCTTCCCAAAGCCACCACAGAAAGTATGACAAGACACAACGAAATCAGTAGTCGAGGGAAGGGGGGGGGGGAAGAGACAAGGCAGAATTAGTGAAGGGAAATGAGATGAAGCCACCTGATGCATGGAAGCATCTTTTCCTAAGCTGTCTTCTCTCCAACAACAGTCTCCTACAGATCCTAGGATAACTAATCTGATACCTTGTTGGGAAAGTTTATTCAGCAGTAGAAGAAAAGAAGCTAACTCTGCACAGGCTTCTTGATTTGGGCTAAATCTTATTCCACTATTGCTAATATATTGCAATTTGAACAATCGCAAACAATGATGGCAAATGAGAAGCACGATGAGCCAGTGGAGTGCTGGTGGCAATGAGTTCATTCTGACTTACTGTGAAGCTGTCTGTGTTCTGAGTGAAAGAGAAAAGGTTATTTTAGTGCAGGAAAGCAGGAAGAAACAATCAAGAGAGAGACAGACAGAGATTAAATCTGAAGAGTGAACTAAGATTTAGTAACTGGAAGCCTTGTGTGTAACATGTGTTCACCATTTGCAAAGAAAAAAGGATTTCACAGTGTTACACAGTTCAGCAGAACCTGGCTTCTACACAGCACAGATCTAAAAAAAACCCTACACTGCTGCTTCGGAGGCAGCACAAGGACACCTTGCCCAATTCAGTTGGCTCATGTTGGAGCTCAGCAGCAAAAGGTAAGCAAGTCACTATTTCCCAGCCTCAGCTTACCCATCCCATAACATAGCACTAAATCAAGACGGAATTGCAAGACTGTAAAAGCTACTATAATTAAAATGCTTAAAAATAAAAATGACTAGTTTTAATTTACAGCCTACATAACACACAGTGCTATTTCAGATAATGAGCATTCGATTTTTCCATACAGGACAACTGCCTGCCCCAGTGATGGAAGCTTCACAGGGCTGAAACAGCTTTCCAAGGGAAGCCATTATCCAGATGCTTCTTCTCAAAGATTCAATTTCTCCTCTTGATTGAGGAACTCAGACCCAGACTTTTAAACTTACTGCTTTTACTGCTCACACATGTAATGCTGGCTTGGCTGATTTCAGATTGTTAGTGTTGCTCTTAGCTGCTGTTTTACAGGATTTTATGGCTGGCCTTATTTATTTTAGTTCTATGTGATCTTAGAGAATCTTATGGCAGCATTTGATTATGTTATGGCTCTTTAAATTGCTCTATTCTGTACTTTTATTGTTTCTTTGCCATATTGGAAGTCTCAAGAACAATTTTGGACTAAGATTGTCAAGTATACATTTCTAAATGAAATAAATGCAGGTGTATGTAAAGCAGAAAATAGGAATTTTGTGTTTAATGTGTATGGGGGGGGGTGTGTGCACGCATGCTCTGAGACTTCCCTTCCTTTCACAGCTCCTCCCCACAAATGTTTTCCTCCTAGCCAAACTTAATCCAGGATTAGAGCTTAGCCATAAGAAATGTGCCAGAAAACAGACTGTAGGCAGAGGAATAATCCAGTCCATACACCCCTTTAAATTGCATTGACCCATCCTACATATGAACAGCATCAAATATAGTCCAGGATTCACTGACAGCAGCTTTTGGGCTTGGTGCATCCATAGCCCCCCTTTTCTTGTGCACACATATATAAGGTTTACAGATTCAGAACTTACTCTTAGCTCCACCCACTTGTCCAGCAGCCTTTTCTCATTGAATTCACAAAGGAGGCCTGAGGAAGTGATACAGAAGGTGCTGTCTGCTTTCTTGCCCCTGCCGCATGCCACATCCGTGAAGAAGTTGTTCCTCAGTTCCCCAAGCAAACCGGAGCGCCCAAGCAAAGGAACCGTGGCATTCACCTGGCCCAAGGGGTGGGGGAAAGGAGAGAATATGTCATGATAGTTGTGTGCTAGCAGGCATAAATGGTGTAAAAAATTACACTCACTCACACACACACACACAGAGAGAAACTTGCACAATAATATGTATCCAAAAAAAAATTCTTCCTTCATGGTCAGGATTATCAAAACTGGTAGCTATGACCTGAACACTTAGAACTCTTGGAAAATACCAAGCAAAAATGCCAAACAATTACCATGGGCATAAAGCAAAGCCTTCCAATGTCTTTTTGCTCCCAGTTGTTCCTACCCACCACCTGGCACTTCTCTCATCCTGCCTCTCACCTTGGAGGTTTTGCTGTCATCTAGGTACCAGAATTTGATGTGCCGGTTGCCAGCGGTGACAAAGTAGCTGCAGTCCTCAGAGAATGAAACCGCTGCCACTTTGCTTGAGACCTTATTTGCTGCCACAACTATATTTTTCTGGAAAGAAGGTATTCAAGCAGGTCAAATGTCTTACTAAACAGAGTTCATAAGCAAATATCTACGGCAAGGGGAAATCATAGAGTCATAACCCATATTTTGCAAAATGGGGTGGGGGGGAAGCTAAGAGAAAATGGAGAAACTCATCAACAGGACTCCTCTGACTTGAGTCACCAGTATAAATTTTGAAGGCTTGCCCTTAGGATATCACTCATTAGGTTAGGTATTTTCACTGTTGTTACTTTAAAAAGACATCTTACAAATGCATACAGACAGCAAGAATTACAATGGGAATGTTTCACAGTACAGATGCACATCTTCCAGATTCTCATTAGATTAGACAAAACAACAACTGGGGAGGAGGGGAGATATGAGTTTTAGAAAATTCATAGTGTGGAAAAAGTAAATAAAGGGAACTTTCCCTCCCTCTCCCATAATCCTCTGATAGAAGCCTATTTTTCCTTCCTGAATGAAGACTTGGTGGAGTCACAGGATCTAGCCCAATGTCTCCTACTAAATCAGCACTCCCCATGAATGTCCAGCTGCACTGACGATGGATTTGTACAACCTCTTTGTTTTGGCATGGAAGAATCATAAACATTGATTCACTACATAAGTAGGCATTCACATGGAGTGTCCACATCAAGTTACCAGCATTTATGAAGGAGAGGGGGAGTGAGTCTAAACTAGTTTTAAGAAGATACACACGAGAGTTGGATTGATCGATCTAATTCTCAAAATCCTAGAGTTATCAAAAATGCAAGCTTATCAAAATAAAGCATTCTGGTGGTAACTAATTACTATGTACAGGTCATCTGAAATATCCTCCCCAACCAATTTACCTTGCCATCAGCTACACAAGTACAAAATAATTACCATTCTAGTCTTCCTTGTGCTAAATATGCTTATTTATGAATGTTCATATTCAACAAGAAAAATGTGATATTTCAGCTGTACCATGCAATAATGTATATTCTTGTTCAAACAAAACTGCTTGTATATTTGGCATTCTGATCAAAGGAATCTCTCTCCTTGGAGAAGCTACTTCTACTATCAACAGTAACAACCGTTGAAGGCCTTGTTTTGAGTATCACAGGCAGCAAACAGATTTTTAAAAGGAACCTTGAAAAAACAAACACATGTTCCTTTGATGCTTAAAGAGACATGTGTGCAAACAACTACCTTTCCTTTTTAAAGCAGCAACCAGAGGGAGCTTAGAATGAGTATCAGCTATTTTAAATGAAAGAGATAAGAGAATCTTTCTGCTTCAGAGTGGGTACTTTAAGCACAACAACCAAACTGTCTAATCTCCGAAAGCCTGCTGTGATCTTCTACTGTGTGTGCCTCAGACAACGAAGAAAAGGAAATGACAGAAAAGGACAGGCCATTTTCGAAGGAAAATTCTCTCTGGCTTAGCTACTGTATTCTAGAAAGTTTATTCCACAGATTAATTATGATAACGAAAAGCCTGTGTGGCTTCAATTATCTTTTAGATCCATCTTCTATTTTCAAAAAGTCTCAGGACAATGTGCACCCTTCTCCCATTTAATTCTAATAACCCTGGAAGGAAGGAAGGTTACGCTGAAAGAGCACGACTACTTCAAGATCACCCAGATATTTAATGACTAGAACCTAGTCCAATAAACTAATTCCTTCAGGACAGATTAGCAACAGTGTGTGTGTGTTTGTGTTTGTGTGTGTGTGTGTGTGTGAAGTGCCATCAAGTCGCTTCTGACCTATGGCAACCTTGTGAATTAATGATGTCAAAAACATCCTATCATTAACAGCCTCGCTCAGGCCCTGGCGTCCTTTATTGAGTCCATCCATCTCATGTTGGGTCTTCCTCTTCTCCTGCTGCCTTCAGCTTTTAGCATTATTGTCTTTTCCAGTGACTCTTGTTTTCTCATAATGTGACCAAAGTATGATAGTCCCAGATCGTCATTTTAGCTTTTAGGGAGAGCTCAGGCTTGATTTGATCTAGAATCCACTTGTTTGCTTAGTCTGTGTAACTTATGTAACCAATAGAGCTCAGCTTTTCTTTGTATAAGTTTTGGTACTCTGGAACAGATTTCTGACTCTTGCTAAGACCATGCACCACCCCATATTAGGCACTTCTTATTTCCTGAGAGCACCCCAATAAAATGGCACTTGATCAGTAAAAGGACATCATATTGAGGTATTTATCTATTCCTCTCTTGAACTGAAGCCAAGAATTATGACCCTAACATTTCAAGTGGGAGCTGAAAAAACCAGTAATGGTTCATGATGTGTCTAAAACAAGAAGGTTAAGTTCCTAGCATATAAACCATTCCCCACATTAGTATGAAGGTAATCTGACATAAGGCATCCCATATCTGGCTTATTGCAAGGAATAACCCTTAATTAATATGACTTTGTGATTTATAATGAACAGTTTATATCAATTCATGTACATACACAGGCATGGAAAGCAGAATTTAAAATGCCCTTCTTTCTTTGAGATCTTTCAGCTATGAGAGTTCTAAAAGAAATCTTGTTCTATATTTTTACCTTCCATGACCAAACATTGACAATCATGTCATGCTGGTAACCCACTGAGACAATGTACTTGGAGCTGGGGGAGAAAGCCACACACGCCACTCCATACTTATGCTCTTGAAGTTCCGCCACCTGAGTCCGTTCAGCAACATCCCATACTCGAACAGCTGGCATGTGCCCGCTCTGCAAACAAAGAGATGGACAGCAAGTGAACATGATCTTAAAACCACTGACATTGCATCCCCCTTTGGACAAAGCCACTGCATTTTGCTAAATGTTTTCTAGCAGGGGCAGTAATCAGTTTGTCAATTTCAGTCCACAGTCAGCTAAAGATTTTAAAAGGCTACCAAAGGTCCATTTGTATTTCGTACTAGTTTGTGTGTTACCATCAACTGCACCTCATACCTGGTAGTGAGAAATTTGCAAATAAGGAACCACATGGCACCTCTGGTTTTTTTATTATTATTAACTTTGTATTGAGATCTGATAGGAGATTGTTACTATTTATAATATAGCAATTCTCATCACACATATTTAACCACTCAAAAGCACAACAGGTCCCCCTTTGCCACATGAATTAGGTATGACTGACCTGAAGAAAGAAAAATAAAAGACATACTTTTGTGCCTGCTTGGGTAGGGGGACAGGGTGGCCAAAAAAGGGATTTAATATCTATAAATGGTTGTCAAATTGAAACTGCTCTCTGAACTACCCCCTACCCCCAAATGTAATTTGTTATTTGGTTGATGTTGTTCAGTCGTACAGTCGAGTCCGACTCTTCATGACCCCATGGACCAGATCACGCCAGGCCTTCCTGTCTTCCGCAGTCCTCTGAAGTTTGCTCAATTTGGTAGATAAATATAAAAAACCTTCCAATCCAGTAGTCTATCAGTGGTGAAGATCACAACTTCCTGACCTGCAGTAGTCTGCTTTGCTATCAGTGATCCTCTAAGCAAATGATTCAAAGTCTAGCAGCTTCTGGAAATGCCCAGCTCAGTGGTATTTAACCTCCTAAAAGATTAATCTATAAGTAAAGATTATAGTTAAAATGAGAAGATCAAGTATTTTCAGAGACTGCAGGGCAGGCAATTGTTTGTTGTTAAGGCAGCCAGTGTACCAAATTTCTGAAACTGAGCAATGCCACAGTAGAATATATTGCACCATGGCCATTTTAGGCAAAAACTGACAAGATCTTGAAAGGAACATGAGAGTTTTCAACTGCTGCACACCGTGTTTTCAGAACATCTGTCACTTATAAGGATTCATACTTGCTCTCAGTTCCCAAACTGAAAAAGAACTGACCCGATCATGAGGGGCAGTGAAATTCAGCATACCAGGAATATCTGAGAACCAAATCTTCTGAGTGAGGGACTGCAAATTTCCTTTCTTGCTGAGGGAGGCACCACAAAGGATTCCCTCACTTCTGTTAGCTGCCTGCCTGTTTCTAGAGACATATGAATTTGCTCATTACTGCAGGGTAGTGGTTTTCATAGGTTGTTGCTGAGAATCATTTTGTCCATTTCCATTTGTTGGCATTCTCAATTTATTTGTTTCTTTCATGCTACTGATACAAAAATGATGTTAAAGCAATGGGAAAAATTCAGTGCGAGGGAAGAGGCTGTTCAAACGCCATGAGAAGAAGAGGAAGAGCTGGTTTTTACATCCTGCTTTTCCCTACCTTGAATCTCAAAGCAGCTTACAATCACCTTCCCTTCCTCTCCCCACAACAGACCCCTTGTGAGGTAGATGGGGCTGAGAGAATTCTGAGAGAACTGTGACTGGCTCAAAGTCACCCAGCATATTTCATATGTGGAGGAGTGGGGTGTGGAGGAGTTCTCCAGATTAGAGTCCGCCGCTCTTAACCACTATAACCATGCTGGCTCACATCATGACCATCGCCAATAAAAAGAAACTGCCTATGCTTTGTCTTCCTAAATTACCTCACCACCAGGCCCGTATGGACAGAACATGGGCAAAATTGCCAGGGGCACAGAAAGTGGAAAGAAGAGAACCAAGTCAGTCTTGCAGGAGTGAGTTCTTCAGATATTCACACCCAGAAATAAACAGTCTCAACGAAAAGAGGGACTCAAAGATACCTGAAAAATTCCATATGGAGAAGAGATCCCTGCCATCAACACCAAAACTTATTTTAATGAAGAGATTCAAAGGAACTATGGGCAGCAAGGTTAAATCAATCCCATTAAAGACCAGATTATCTTGATTAACAGAAACAGGCTGCAGCAATACCCCCATGTTGATGTCGACACAGCACTATTTAGCAGTGCCGCATCTCATGTGAAACATTTTAAAAAATCAAAATAGAGAGAAGTGCAAGCTTGACAGTCAACTCCTACTCAACAGCCTCTGCATGATTTCACAAAAGGCATGGCCTGTGAGATGACAACTCCATAGCTTTTTCTTGCCAAAATTGACAAGTGTCTTAGTATATGTGCTGCCGAAGCGAGCACAGAATTGACAAGTGTCTTGATAGTGAATGGAGATGGGAATCTCTCAGAAAGAAATTCAGAATTTCCTTTCAGAAAGCAAAATTCCAAATGGAATGATCCCAACAGACAATGCTTAAAAGTCAACCTACTTTGCAACTTTATCCTGAGCATTAACTGTTCTTACTGCTGTGCTTTTCTGATTTAAAAACTCAGCGTTCTTCATGCACATCTGGGCCTTCAGGTTACAGTTAAGAATGAACAATGGGTACAGTATGCAAAACCCAAAACTGAGGCACTCTCCCGTTGAAGAATCTTCATCTCAAAGAAAGGATTAATAAGATTTAGATGTTTATTTGGCAGGGGTGAAGAGATGATATACATATAATATTAAGAGAGGACTTTCCTTGCAAGTAAGTTCATAAAAATGAGAGGAAGTACTTCCTATATGTGAGAGGGAAGGCAGCATGATATAGTTTGATCTCATCAGATCTTGGAAGCTAAGCAGGGTCAATACTTGGAAGGGAGACCACGAGGGAAGACTCTGCAGAGGAAGGCAATGGCAGACCACCTCTGTCTCATTTGCCTTGGAAGCCCCTTGCTGGGGTCACCATAAGACAGCTGCAACTTGCTTTACACACTTTCTATATGCAAAGCTACCATGTGGTCACTGGCAGCTACAAGAGGGAATGAGAAATGTGTGAGCAGGTCTACCAATTCTTATTTAGTAGTAGTAGTAGTAATTTATTGTGTTGACCATAGGTCATAACAATACAAAAAAAACCCCAATGCATAAAATCCCAAATGATAAAACTCCAAGGTAAATACAAATTAAATTAATATCCAACAAGGGCATATAAATACAGAGCCAAATTAGGTTGTGGTCATTTACATACAGTTCGATCTAATTGATCTAGCCACCAATGCAAACAAAGCGACTCTGTTAGAAACATACGGATCTTTATCTGCAAGCAAAAATATAACTTTTTCCATATCTGAAACTCCTTCCTGCAGAGATAAGATACTAGTGATAAATTTATTTTGAGAGGGCAAAAGAAGAGGGCATCTCAAAATGTAATGGGTCAAATCATCTACTTCTCCAGTGCCACACATACCAAGTCGTAAGGAAGCAGGGACCCTTAGAAATCGGCTGGTGCGAACCATAGAGGGCACAGTTTGTAATCTTAAATTGGTAAAGGCCAACCTTAATTTCATTGTTGTTAAAGTCTTTAGGTAAGATGACTTGGTATGATTTTTTAAAAATAATTTGAAGAAACGGGCCACTCTAGATTGACTGATTGCATTACTATCTAATTTCCCATCCATGTTAAATACCCATTCCCTCAACTCCTGCCTTGAACTGATAGCTGTTAACAGATCATTTGGGATAACGTACTTTGATTGTATAAGGCCCAGATGTTCCTTGTAGGTCTCAACAAGTTTTAGGAGAGAGTAAAAACTTTTACTTCCACATGAATCCTGAGAACGTTCTAGTCCTTTCTTCCAATAAGACAGGGCGCTAAGATTAGCCCTGGCTTTCAAGGATGGGATACCGAGCGCAGCCCTCATTAAAGCCACAGGAGAGCCCTTAGGCAACACCAGGATCCGTCTCATAACATTGTTTTGACCAATTCTTATTAGTTACAATAGATCAAGATGGGTAGCCATGTTAGTCTGTCTGTAGCAGTAGAAAAGAACAAAAGTCCAGTTAAGGTGCTACTGGACTCTTGCTCTTTTCTATAGCTATGATAGTTAAGTGGAACCTTCATGCAGAGGCAATATGTTTCTCAGGATCAGATGTTGCGCACCCATCACCACTGCAGCCTGCTTGGAGCTGGTTGGAGGCACCAGGCTGCTCAGTGCTGGCTCAGGCTGGAGCATTCAGTTCCCAATAAGATGAACAGTCTTGTTGTAAACCAACAAGGCCGTTCAGCCTACAGACCTGCAGACCAGATATTCAAAAAGACTGACATTGAAACAGACATAGATCAAGATGGGGGGCTGTGTTAGTCTGTCTGTAGCAGTAGAAAAGAGCAAGAGTCTAGCAGCACCTTCAAGACTAACAAAATTTGTGGCAGGATCTGAGCTTCTTCAGATACTCACTTCTTCAGATACTCACAAAAGCTCATACCCTGACAAAGATTTTGTTAGTCTTTAAGGTGCTGCTGGACTCTTGCTCTTTTCTATTGAAATGGACAGTTGATAAACATCTAGAGCTTAACTAACATTTACCCGGGGAGAGGGGCAGGAATCACATGTTGAATTTAGTACTTATGATTCAAGGAATTTTTAATAATCAAATGTCATTTCATGTATGTGTGTTTAGAGTCCAACAGTAATCAAGTTAGGAGACAGATGGCAGCTATCCAACATGGACAAGAAGAGGACAGTCAGCATTTTTGTGGTCTTTCAGCATCCAGCAATTCAAGTTTCATCACACACAGACTATGAATATTGTATCTGGTCTGCATTAGATACAGAATGCAATCATTTCTGTCCTTCCTTTATGCATATTCCAAGGGGAAAAACTTTTTGCTAGCAATGAACTAAACCTGCCAAACCCACAGGCACCAGAATCTTTGTCACTATTCAAGGCTTCATTCTGTTCAGCATTCTCTTCTCTGTATCCCAAGGCAGAAACAGGAACTTCTGATCCACATCCTCCTTTACAGACAAGTAAGGGGATGCCAGTGCCCACAGCTAAATATTACCCTGCAAATCTTATCTTTGCTTTTCATCTGTCTGAATACCCAATCTTTATTCTCTGGAAAATACATTTAAAAGCAAAGCTGCTAAAGAGAAGTAATTGAGATTCATACTAGTTTCTACCTTTCATGGTTTAGAGAAGTCATAATACAGAAGCAAATTAGGGTTCCCTCGTGGCTATTTTAATAAACTATTAATTAACTTTAACATAAGCCACACTTTCTATTTCCTAATCTCAAGAAGCATCCTTTCGTAGAAACCACACTGACAAATTGCTCCAATAAGACAAGAAGTTGCTTTATTCAGGATCATCCTAATTTTATTTTATTTTATTTATTTATCTGGATCACTCAGGCCATAACAAGACCTTACCTAGCTGTAGCCCCAGCATTTCAGAGATCTTTTGTCCCAGCCTTGCTTCCCTGAATCCTTTAACTGAAAATGGCCAGGAAGGAACTAGAGAATTTTGTATATACAAAGCATATATTGTACCACTATGCAATGACTCCTCCAAAAGTCTGTCTACACGTTATCTTAGGTAGGAAGAGGCCAGCTCTGCCTAAACCCTGAATGTTCCAACTCAACAACTATCCCAATGGACAGGGAAACCTCCGTGCCTTGAACCACCAATGCATCCCCCAACTCTCTCCACTCTCAGGAACAAGAGCCTTTGCAAAGTTCTCTTGCCTGAGAGAAGGGCTTATGTTACCATCACCTTACTGCTGACCAGGCACTTAAAAAAACAAACCTCTTCTAATGTGTGTGTGTGGGGGGGAGCAGAAATCAAACTGCAAGTCTTTCCTGTTCCTGGAGGTTAGAAAAACAGAGCAAGAAGGCCTTATTTCAGGCAAGGAGCTATTCCTCGTCCTTTGTGTCAGGGCTCTCTCCCAATCCCAAAAAAGCAGGGAAAGGCAAAAAGGTGCTTCTGTCTGTTCCTGCCTTCCCTGCATGTGTGAAGAGAAACTTTTAGGATTATAGTCAGAAAGGGTTAGGCTGCCTCTCATACGAGCAGCTTGAAAGATAGCCAGGCTCTCAGGCTCCATCACTTACCTCTCCAGTAACCAGGTATTTTCCATCAGGAGAGAAAGCAAGGGCCGTAATGGTCTTCCTGTACAAAAGGAGAAAAGGCATTTTTGTGAAACAGCTGAGGGTGATGGAGTTTTCAACTCAACACAACTAGGGAGTGGATCTGGGACTATGAGGAAGAGCACACCAGTCTATGCTGGGTGGGCTTCTCTGTCATATCTATTGCCCTGCAGAAAGATTTTATAAAAGCAACCAAAACTGTATTCTAATCTGCCTAGCTCTTGAAGGGATGCAACTTATTATAGCTAATAGTGGCTTTTAAAAGTTTTCGACATCATAGATCTGGCCATAGGCATGGATGTGCAAAGCAAAAATGAAACTAAGAAGGGGGAAAGGAGGGATTGACTCCTCCTCCTCACTGTGCTACGATCCAAATCCGGATTTCCCCTGCTTCCTGTCACTACTTTTACAGCATAAACTACACATTGGGTAATCCAGTCACAGATCCCCAATGGGGCTGAAGTTCCAGCTGATGGGTACACACTACCCCGTGTGTTTTTTCAGTAAATCATCAGCTACATCATTTCTTACAGTAATCTGGGAAACATGGAAACACTGGATCAGCATTCCACTGTTTCCTTTGCTATTTTTTTAACTGATCCAGTTATAGGCTTGTTCTAAAATCTTAACCATCACCATTATGAAAAAGGGGGAGTTTATCAGCCTGTGGCTGATGCAGGTATTTTGAAAATATCGATGCAGTTGTTATCGCAAAGTCTCAAACACCCAACAACTCTAAAGCTTTTCCAATAAAATATTTTAAGTTTATTTATGAATTTAGACATCCAACATGATTTTTAGTATTTAAATAATCAGTACTGGACAGTCAAGGAGCACCTGACTGGTTGTGACCCAATTAAAAAGAAGTCCCCATATGCTTCTCTTCACAGTCAGATGATTTCTATGGTCAGCATCCCATTGTCCTAAAAACCTCCAGTTCAGAGGAATTATTCCAGTGGATTATACCAGTGGTGATATCAATATTATACAACTGATGCTTCAGAATCCTGATGTATGATCATTCAGCATGACAACCCACTTGGGAAGTTCTTCATTCATTCATTAGCAGCAGCATGATATAAATAAAACAAATAAAAAATACAACGCCAGTTCAAATTTCCAACCAAGGTGAAAATTATATGTTGCACCGGGGGGGGGGGGGGGGGGACACAAACGCCTGAATTAAAATTCATAGATGACTAAACTCTCTCTCCTGTCGGTAGTCCTGGTATCTATTCCTTGAAGGGACACATTTGGAAATGGAAGCCAAAACTGAACTCTGCACAAAAGTCACACATTTCTAAGAAAGTCAAAATGACCAGGATAATAGTGGATAGAAATTCTTGGTCTGTTTGTGCCTAACACTCCTCAATTATAAAATGGCAAAATTTCAGATTAAAAAAACAACACCTTGATCTCCCTACAAGCTGAGTATAAACACAAAAGAAAAGACTAGAATGCACAAGTCCTGAGCTTCCTTCCCAAGTTTCAACAGGTAGCCATGCTACTGCAGTGAGTTTATTTAATTGTTTATTTCAAGAGAACTGATCTGTTAAACCTTGGGATCCCATCCTGTGCTCCCAAACCATTTCAGCCACTGTACATGGGAGACGGCAAGAGAGAGGAAAAAATGACAGGGTTTTCTGTATAGTTTATAATTGTATAATTTCTGTATTTTTTATTTATTGTTTTATTTTATTGCATAATTTCTGTATAATTATAATTGCAAGTTCCCACCACTTGGCAAAGCTTAATAAAAAGGCCTCTCAGGCTTCCAGAGAAGGAAAATCAAGACACCACTTGACAACCCTGGGTTTCACTCACCTGGAACTATTCAGAATATGATGCTGCTTATTTTTCCGGGGGTTGAAAAGCACAACGACGCACCTACAGGACAAGAATTTTAAAGACCATTAAATGTATATCAACAGCCTTTTGGACATGGTTATTGGCCAATACACTCTTTTCTTCTGCAGTGGACAGTAAAACCACTCTGGAGAAGTGTTCTGGGGGACATGACACAAGTGAATCTTTTATAGCATTTTGACAGGTACAGGAAATCCTACATTAATGTTTTAATTGAATCTCTCCAGTGGATGAGAACCATCCGCTTCATATAAATCAAAGGATTAACAGGAAAGGCATGCTTCTTATATTACTCTGTAGTCAGGGTTCTCAGATAGATCACACATGCTGCAAAAGCCAGCCAGCCAGCTCTGGATGGTTGTGGAGAGCTTTGGAATAGGGCTGCCAAGTCCCCCCGGGGGGTGGAAATCCCCCTGCCCCAGAGGCCCGTTCCCCAACGCCGGGGAATCAGGCCCCGGGGGGAACCCCGCCCCAGCGTGCCCGGCGTCATGACGTCACTTCCCTGTGATGTGTATGCGGCGTGCGTGCAAGGCGTGGATACAAGCAGGAGTCCCCCGCCGGCAGGGTAAGTGCCTCTTGGCAACCCTACTTTGGAACAAAACACAAACAGTAACTGCTTCATCAGAAACAACTGCACCTTCTGTTGGTGAATTCCCTTCATGAAAAGACTGATCAAACCTACACAATCATATATGGCCCAGGGTTCAAACTGAGGATAAAATCCAGGGTACAGCTCTCCTGAGATACTTCTGAATGTACGGAGGGGCGAGAAAGGGAATTATATCCCTTCACTAGCACATCGAGGAGAAAGCCAGGCTAGAGACTTTTGGCTTATGTGCTACTGCTCTACATACATGAATGTTATTTGCTTAATTTAAGAGAACAGGTCCTCCTACAGTTCCTCCAACCTGCATCCTAAAGTATGTCCAGAGTTAGGGAGCTCACCTTCGCACTTACCATGGCCAGCCGATGGGGGGAGCAACTACCTGCCACCCCGCAGATCCAGCAATGTGGTTCTGCCCCTGCTACTCCTGAAGCCAACAGACCATGGAACAGCAACTGTGCTCAAGAGAGCACATGAGCCGTAATAATATCAAAGAACAGCCATGATGGCTGTTCGAGACCCACCGCGGCCGGAGTGAGCTCCCGGCCCTAGTCCCAGCTACCACCCACCCAGCGTTTCGAAAGCAATAACATCAAGGGAGTAGATAAATGGGTACCTGCCCTAGGTGGCAGGGGGCACCCTCCTCCGTTGTGGGGGTCTGATGGAGTAACGGCGGCGGCAGAATGGCGAGCGGCGGTGGTGACGAGTGCAGTGCCGAGCAGTGGCGGCAAGGAGGCGCAACACCAGCAGTGGATTGGACGACGGCGGAGGCGGAGCCAGAAGACGCAAAGGATGTAGAGGCGCAGGCACGGCGGAGCCAAAATGGACAGAGCCGGAGCCGCGCCAACACAAACTGCGCGCCAGATGGGTCCGCTGAATACAGCCGACTCCGAAGACCACCGGAAGAAGGAGAAGAGGAGCCAAAGCCAAAGCCGTGCCGACAAAAGCCGAACCGGAAAAAGAACAGCGAGTCCCTCCACTGGGTGCCGGTAGGGCAGTCCCCACCCCTGACTATGTGTGGCCATAGACAGGGATAAAAGTAACTGTAAGCCACTCAGAGACCCCTCGGGGTTCGAGCGGGATACAAGTTGAAAGCATAAATAAATAAATAAATAAATAAATAAGAGGCCAGCAGAACTGCTAGAGCCACACAACTCCTTTAAGGAACCATGTTTGGTAGCTCAGCCTTTTGCCAGCTGGCCAGCAGGCCCAGAAGATAACCAGAGGAATTCCCCTGGGAGGGATGAAGCCTATGGTTACTAAGCTCCAGGTGGGACCTGGAGTTCTCCCAGCATTACAAGTGATACTACAGAGACCAGTTCCCCTCCAGAAACTCCTTCAAAAGAAGAGTCAGCTAAAGGCCTGGGAGGATGTGCCAGGGCTCTCTCTCCTAAACTGTGATAGGATCGCCAATTCCAAGTTAGGAAATTCCTGGAAATCTGGGGGGTGGAGCCTGGAAAGGGGAGGGTTTGGGGAGGAACTTCAGTGTGATATAATGCCATACAGTCTGCCAGCCAAGCCAAAGGAGCCATTTTCTCCATGGGAACTGGTCTCTGTCACCTGAAGACCAGTTGTAATTCTGGAAGATCTCAAGGCTCCACCTGGAGGTTTGCAACCCTAGGCTGTGGTGAGACCCAGTGGGGGAGAGAAAGGGGACAGGGGGAGTAAACCTCCTTTCTCTCCCAGTACTCAGGCCTCAAAGACTTCTTTACAGGAGATACTGGAGAATGCCCAAGGTCAGGGGTCCCCAGTGGCAGTCCCAGCTCCTGACAAAGTAATATCGTACTACACAATTCTTCTAAATGTGTACAACAGTTCCAATTCTGCCCTGCTGCCTTTGATAAAGTTAAAGAAAGGCTGACTCTGCAGCACAACAAGATCAGGGACAGAGGGCCTTGTGCAAAAAGCAACAGTTATATCCAAAATCAGGCCTGTGGACCTCTATCAAGAGCTGCTAATACCCATCGGTTTTATTAGGCCCAACCTTCCAATCTGAGTCACATTTCAAATTCAAAGGACATTTATTGAAACAGCTCCAGGACCGCTTTGCAGGGTCACTGCCAAACTACATAAGCAGTCTGTTGCCATAACCAATTTGTTTATACAAACTGCTTACAGGAAAATTTACTGGCTTTGCATACAAACTTTTCATTTCCAAGGCTTGAGATGGCACACCCATAAAACTATCAATCTCTGATGACAGGACAAGTTCCCAGTGATAGCAAACAACTGTGAAATACAGCTTTTAATAAACTACTATCTCTCTCCCACATCCTGAAGCAGCTACAGGGTTCTTTTAGATAGCAGATATGAGCAGAAAAGATGAAAGGCATACACCTGCAGCCAAATTATTAAAGAGCACCTGAGTCTAGTATACCAGTAAGTGATCCTCCAAAATACTAGGGAAGGTATATACCCCCAGCAGCACATGCAAGTGCTGGAAACTCTCATAAGAGGGGGAAGGAGTTCAGCATTTCCTGTCAAGAACTATTAGAGATTACCCACTAGATTGAACTGGATGCAACACAGCCTCAGGTTTTCCAGTTCAGCACATAAGGGAGACCATGACCATTTCAACCACAGAATATAAGACTTGGGAACTGAGCTGCTTGCTGCAAAAACTTTTCAGAAGAAACACATAGTTTTGGTAAACTCAGTGAGTGGGGTGTTGCATTTTCCCCATTAAAGTTAAGTTTAGGAATGGAACAACAAGTTATAAGACAACAGAGTCACAGTTACACATTACCTAATGCACTCGAACAGCTCTGTGGAACTCTCCCCACACACACCTTTTTAAATCCTTTGAGACCTTAGACGTTTATATTTTACTTCCCCCTCGATAGCCCCCCCCACATCCATTTCCTGGCTTGACTCATCTGTTGCCATGACCTTTCTCAGACTCCATTCTTAAATTCTTTCCTCAGCAGGCTAATAGAAAACAGATTAAGTTTGAGGATTTTTAAAATTCTACCTTTTCTCTGAATAGCTTCTTGAATGTGACAGGGTAACGACCTGCTAGGGCTGCCAAGTCCCCCCAGGGGGCGGATTTTCCCCCACTTTGGAGGCCCGATTTCCGCCCCCGCAAAATCGGGCCCTGGGGAAAACCCCACCCCCGCGTGCACGTCACAGGGAAGTGACATCATGACGCCGGGCACGCTGGGGGCGGGGCCACAGCCATTTTAGGGGAAAACATAGAGTTTTCTTCTCAAATGGCTGTGGCCCTGCCCCCAGCATGCCTGGCGTCATGATGTCACTTCCCTGTGATATGCATGCGGCGCACGCATTCCGGGAGTCACCCCAGAATCCCCTGCCGGCGAGGTAAGTCCGATTTGGCAACATTACGACCTGCAGGTGAAGCTTTTCCTAGTGTTCTTAGACATGCTTCATCTATCGAATTTGTCTGCTTCCCAGGGTTGCCAGGTGCATGTCTAGAACTCCCAGGAGACCTTGGGGAAATGGCAGTGCGGGGGGAAATTAAAAGAAGTTGTCAACACAGAGATATCACTTCAGGCTAAAACCCAGAAGTAACAACACCAGGTCGACACCACCTCCTCACCTAGGGTTGCCAGGTCCCCCCTGGCCACTGGTGGGGATGTGGGGTCAGGGTTGCCAGTTCCAGGCTGGGAAACTCCTGGAGGTTTGGAGATGGAGCCTGAGGAGGACAGGGACCTTGGTGGGGTACAATGCCATAGAGTCCACCCTCCAAACCATCTATTTTCTCCAGAAGAACTGATCTCTGTAGACTGGAAATGAGCTGTAATTTCCCCAACCACCACTCATTCAAACAGAGGCAAGGGGAAGGAGATAACCAGCCACAGCAGGAAAGCTGGCAACATTACTGCTACTATACAACTTTAGAAGCACAGACATACTGCCACGGGATAAAAGTGGTATCCTACTCTTCCTATATAATTTGGATGCTAAATATACTTGGACAGCTTGAGAATTCATCAGTGTGTGTTCAAAGTGCCAACAAGTCACAGTCAACTTATGGCATGGGGTTTTCAAGGAAAGAGACTTCAGAGGTGGTTTTGCCATTGCCTCCCTCTGCATCACAACCCTTGGTGGTCTCCCATCCAAGTACTAACCAGAGCTGACCCTGCTTAGCTTCTGAGATCTGATGAGATCCGGCTACCCTGGGCCATCCAGGTTAAGGTGGAATCTGCCTACCTACAAGAAAAACATGCAAAGATACGTTCTGCTTTCTCCTCAGTATACCATGGACAGACTATGAATAAATGGACTTCTTTGACTCTGAAGTCTGTAACTGCTCAAATATTTCTCACCTTCTAGGTAATGTACATCTAAATAGTTTTATTGTTGAAAAGTATAGCAGTTTCTCCACACCTGTATACCTACATGCACACAAAGTTTAGTTAAACAAACCTCAAGCAACCTCAAGCATTTCATTTATTAT